AAGCCCCCAGCCCAATGGGCGTCTTCGGGACGGGTGTGCCGCGATCGCGTTCGCCCGCGCGGCAGGCGTGCCAGATGATTTGGAGCGGTGGCTCGCGAACGCCTGCATTGCAGTGAAGTTCATTCTAAGATTGCAGATTCCATCACTGGAGTGCAGTTCTCGAGATGGGCACGGCCAACGGTGGTCGTGGATACACCGACCTCTACCCCAGATGCAGGCACGTGGTGCTCGCGAGCGGAACACAGTCTTGCAACAACGGAGGTTCTGGCGCAAATGCGGGAGTTGGGCCAAGCCTCATACCCCGAAAGTTGGTGGCAAGAAGAACGACGGCACGAGCCTGGAGCTTAGCTTGGAGACCAGCGCGCCGACGGCATTCTCGTTCCCCCGGGACAACATTCTGCCCAGGCGCTGAAGGTCGCCAGCGACCCGCTCTCTGCAGGCGGCGCTCCAGGCGGCGTTCGCCCAGCACGATGGGGGGCCGCCGCGCAGGGCGCAGCCGCGGGCCCCACCCGGCGAGGCGCACCGTCGTGCAGGGGCCCCGCGGAAGGAGGCCGGCCAAAGGGCACGACCGGGCGGTGGCGGCACCGGCCAAAGCTCGCCTGCAGCTGGCGAAGTCTGGGGAGCGAGAGGCCACCACGGTGAAGCAGCCAGCGGAGATTGCGAAGAGAGTCGCAGTCCAGGCCTCGGCCGCCGAAGCCGAGCTCACTTCTGTCGGGTCCTGCGGCCACGGCGACGGCAGCCTCGGCATGTCAGAGCAAGATGCGCGACGCGCAGCGCAACGAAAGCTTCGAGGCGCTCCACAGGGGAGTGTTCGAGCGCGAGCAGATCGAGAAGGATGGGTGGGCTAAGCTGGAGCAGGAGTTCATCCAAGCCAAAACGTTGTTCGGTGGTCGTGGCGAGCAAGTGGCAGCTTGGAGAGCCAGGATGGAGGACATCCAGAAGCCGGCGGCGCAGAAGCGCATGGCCAAGAAACGCAAGGGCGCGGGTGGCCCGCAGATCGGCAGCTGCAGCCAGACAGCATCTCCGACGGCGGCTTTTCCTCAGACGGCACTGGCAAAGGAGCTGGAGGAGACGATGGCGAGGAGACGCACGAGGAGGACGAGCAAGGCAAAAGCGGCGCGGATGCCAAGAGAGCCCGCGAGGCCAAGGAGGCGGCGGCAGCCGCGGCGCGGGCGGCGGCGGCGGCGGCGGCGGCCGCGGCCAGCTCCAGGGGGGCAGGCCGCAGCGCTGCCTGCGCCGGCGGCTCGCCCAACGAGACCACTCTGCAGCTGCATGTTTGCTTACATGAGATAGAAGGTGCGAGCTGGTCCGCTCGCGTGCGCCGCGGGGTCGTCCGGCCAGCCTCCGAGCTGCTGGGTCTGCGAGCGCGGGGCAGGATGCGCTTTGCGATAGGGCGAGATACTCAACGGCACGTTTGGCACCACAGTCCTATGCGTCGTGCTGCGGACCAGCGACGGCGACGACGGCGGCCCCGTCCTCGTCTTCCTCTTCTCCCTCGTCAGCGGCAATTGCCGGGCGGGTGCGACAGTGGTTCATGGGGTTGTTGAAGCGGCCGATTTCGCGGTGCTCAGATTGAATAGTGATGCTGAATGGTCTACGAGCGTGGGTGTCTCGTCCCGTCTCATGCTAGGGCCGCTCAGATGTCTAGAGACAGCGAGGTGGGTCAGGCTTCCGCCAGCAATCTCACGCTTCTGGGTAGGAGCTTGGGACTACGTCGCACACTTAGACGGTAGTCATGCCTTCCAGCACTCAGCTCTGTGCGAGACGCACGCGGGACCCATCCAGACTTCGAAGTGGGTCAAGTGCACCAGGCAAGTTAATTTCCGTTGTCTCATGAAACGCGGCTCGCCCCACAGGTTTTCATCGTCGGACTGAGTCGGGATTGGCACGCGCCTGCGAAGGCAGAGAAATGTTCTCGTCCCGAGGTCGCAGTTTCGAACACTGCGGGCCCTTGCGCTTGGGGCCCCCAGGCGGTGCTAGATGCCCCATGGAAGCCCATAGAAGCCACGCCGCGGTCTTCTCTTGCAGTTGCGACGTGCTGGAGAGCAGCTCGTCGCCCCATCGCCAGCCTTGCCGATGCGATTGGCGCAGGCCGTTGCCCCCAGCTGCAGGAGACGGTTGGGATCTACGTCTTCCAAGACTGCGAGAGTGAGTTGTTCGCCGGGGGCTTGCCCGTGAGAAGATACAAGTGATGCCAGGATGCCAGGGATGCCAGGATACGATTGTAGACCCAAAATCAATACCAGGAGTTGAATTTTGGGAGAACAAATAGCAAAAGTAGCTTACACCTGGTTCTGGACCTTCAAACTCAGTGCCAGGATTGAAGTTCTGGCAGCACGAAGAGCCCTGAGTGGCGCACAGATGGTTCCGGACACTTACAAATCTCCCAGGGGTGGATATCTGGGAGCACGAGAAGCCCGAAGTGGCCGACCGCTGGTGCTGAGAGATCACAACAAGTCCTAGGAAGTGAATTTTGGAAGCACGAAGATCGCGAAGTAGCCGAAGCCTGGCCCCGCACACTCGAAAACAATGTTGGGACTGGTGCTCTAGCGACTCGATGGTCACACAGATTGTGTTTTTTACAGGGTATGCCGCCGATGGCCGCTTCAGGTTAGTGACATGGAGATGGGGCCCCATGAGGAGGGCGCTACGCTTGAAATGTCCCCCCAATTCAATCCGTCATGATTTCGTAGGGATAGTGGTGGAGATGAGATGAAAGTGACGATGATGATGGCAATGATGTTATGATGTCGGTGATGTTGGTGCTGATGATGATGGCCGATGTTCATGATGGGACGGTGATAATGATGATGGTGGTATGATAGCGACGGTGAGTGTGAAGGAATGAGAGAAGTGGTGGGGGATAATCTCTCCTCCTGCGCAGGGCGCACAGTTCAGGAATAAATCCTCGAAGCTCGATATTCCTCCCTCTCCTGCCCTTCTTCCTCCTCCTCCTCCTCCTCCTCCTCCTCCTGCTCTTCTTCCTGGTCCTCCTCTTCCTCCTCCTTCCTCCTCCTCCCTTCCTGCCCGCACTGACTCTCGGGAGCCACCTCGCTGCGGCAGGTTCGCGGCGCGCTGATCCAGCGGCGACCCCGGCGCGGGCGTTCAAGCGCGAACGCCGGTAAAGGGGTCTGGAGAGGGCCGGCATCGACCGACCTGCACTACCGAAGCACCGCTATCGTGCAAGGCCGAGTGGCGGCGCGCACGGTGGAGGGGCCGCGGGGAAGCCTTCCAAGAAGGCGGGAGGCTTCCAAGAACGCAGGGCCTCCAAGAAGGTTTCTTGGAAGGCGGGCCCCCCCTTTTCGCCACCCCCTTGCGCGCGCCGCCCAGCCGACCGCTCCACGCGGTGTCAGAAGCCAGTGTTGCCGTCGTCGCGACGTGAACCCGCCGCACCCACCGTGTGGCGTTGGCTGGCCTGACCCCGGGAGCGTTCCCCGGATGAGTCCCGCGGCCGGTGGCTGGACCGCCTGGCAGGGCCGCAGTTGCAGGTCTTGCGCTTTCGCAGTTGTGCGATCCCCCGCGCCGGAAGCACTCATCGGAGGTCTTCGGCAGCTCGCGGGCTCTCCAGGAGATCCGAAGGACTACTGTGTCCAATCCTTCGTGGGGGGGACGAGATGCCGATGCCGCTGTTCGTCCTGGAGAGCTCTCGTCGCCACGGTTGGATTACCCGGGAAATTCTGGTCAGAGCGCACATTGGGAGAGGCCCAGGGGCCAGCGGTATCGGCATTTGTTTGTTCCCCCAGCCCTAGTGCGTTTTCTCCAGCCAGGCTTTGCTTGAGGGGGGTGCCGTCCCCCGAATTCAGAGACAGGACTCGGCCCTGCCCGGTTCCCTGGTTGTTGTAATTGTGATGCTTTGCCCGGGATCCCCGGTTTTGTTCATTGAGTTATTTGGTCATTGTTCGGTTCCCATGTTTTGTTCTTGCTTTCCTGCTTCGGATTCCCCAGTGTTGCTCCTCGGAGCCGATGGTCTTGCTCCTCGGGCCCCCTGGTTTTGCAACGCAAAGCAATACCATTCAACGTCAAGCAGAACCTAGCGACGCAAAGCAACGTAAAGGAATGCAGAGCAATGCCGTGCAACGCCAAGCAGGGCAAAGCAGTGCCCAGCAACCCTGAGCAACGCCAAGCAACGCAAGGTGAGGCCAAGCAGCGCGCCCATACAAAAGGAACCGTTCCCTTTAACTTGGAGGGCCAAGCCTACCTTCTTTTAGAAAACCAACATCTGGGGCTGATGTTACATGGACACGTTGGGTGCCGTGACGTCCACAGACGCGTTCAGGGTGGACACGTCTGTGGACAGCGCGGCCATGGCGTCCGGAGCGGTGCCAGGTCGGAGGAAGGGCTGATCCGTCTACGGTATGTTCCTGCTCTAGAGCAGGTCCCGCATGGTACAGGGTCTGGCTTGAATAAGGAGCACTTACCTTTCAAAAGGGGCCCGCTCGTTCCCTTGGTTTGCATGCGTTCCGCTACCTTTTTGGCGGCGAGCCCCCCTGGTGTTCCTTCGGACTTCGCAGACCTCCTTGGACAAAAAGAGGCTTCGTTACTGATCCATCGCTCCTTAGGTCAGGCCGAATACCGTCCTCCAGCCCTCGACACTCCCGCCTGGGGACGCGCTGGGTTTCTCTTCGATCGCGGCCTCCCGGATGCCACGGTCGGCCCCCCGGGGCCACCCGAGCAATGGCCCCCGGGGGGGCGCGCGGAGTGTTGGCCCCAGGGCGAGGGGCCGAGGCCTCGTGCAGGGCCCCGCGGATGGAGAGAGCACGCTGCCGGGGTTCTCTGGCCTTCCGCAGCTGAGAGGAGGGGGAACATCGAGATTCGAGGATCCTCCTCCCCCCCTCCTCCTTCTCCTGCTCCTCCTCGTTCTCCTCGTCCTTAGCCCCTTTCTGTGTCGAGCCGCGATTCAGTGGGCCCATGCAGGGGGTCCCCGCCTTGAACATCTCAGCGACACTTTCTAGTTCAGGAGGGGCCCTGCACCGCCCTATCGAACATCCCAGGGTACCTTCATGCGCTGTAAGTTTTTTGGATTCAATGTGTGCAGCCTGATTCAGCACAGGAGGCTGGACGAGATCGCGTTGCTGGCTAGGGGCTTCCCGTTCCACTTCCTGCTGGGCACCCGCCTGCGGGCGGTGCCGTCCGAGGCGGTGCGTCGTCAGACGCACATCGGGGACCACGACTACTACCACTTCGGGTACGGCAGGGGGCCCTTCACCAACCGTGCGGCAGGAGTCACCATCGGAGTACGACGCCGAGATCTCGGACTACGCGTGCACCGCGTGCTCCCTGGACCTGCCGCCGCGCTGGGCCGTGCGGGAATGGTGCGAGTGGTCACTGGTTCGCTCGACGTCACGGCCATTGCGATCTACTTCCCGCCGCCTGGCCCGCGCTCGGGGACGGCCACATGGAGGCGCACGGTTGATGTGCTACTCGAGTGGTTGAACGGTCTGCTGGACACCACCCCCGAGCGCTCCACCCCCATCATCTTCACGGACCTGAATGACTCGTTCGCGGTTGACGAGACCAGTTGCTCCTTCAGTTGCATCGGGCCCTACGTGCAGTCTCGCATGGGCTACGCCGCTCGAGGGCTCCGTGAAGTGCTGCACCGACACCATTTCGCTTGCGCAACCACCTTTTTCAAGATTGCTCCCACTTACAATGGCGAGAAGTCGTCGACCTGGATCGACCACTACGCCCTGCCAGCTGGAGCCCTGCCGCGCGTGTCAAAGCTGATCACCATGACCAAGGCGGCCAGGCAGCTCCAGCTCTACCCCTCCAAGGGAATTTTGCGTGACCACTCTCCCGTGCTCCTGGAGGCGGACCTGGGCGTCCCGAGCCTGCGGTCTTCGCAGATTTCGGCCTCTTGGAACTTCGACGCTATCGAGACCGCGCTGCAGACGCCAGGCCTGCGGGAGGGATTCCTGGAAGAGGCAAACCTGGCCCTGCAGCGCGCGGCGCCATCGTACCTGGGGTACTTCGAGAGCAACATGATCGACGCAGGCTACGCTTCGTTCCTGGACGCGCTGGCACCGATTGCTAAGAAGCACTTCGGCAGGGCCAGGCGAACCCCTGGCGCGGAGCTGGCGCAGCACCGACTCCAGGTACGACGCCTCCTCCGTGGACGGGCGGTGCTGCGCGCCATGGGCCTCCCCCACTGCCACTACGATTTTCAGATCCGCGACTTCACGAATCGCATCAGGTGGGAGGTCCGTAGATGGACGCGATCACTGCGCAGGACTTGGACTGAAGGCATTCATGAGGCCTGGCGCAAGCGTGATCTCGCCAGCGTGCAATATTTCTCTCGTAGACTGGCGGGCACTGGACTGGGACCCAAACGAAGGAGCTACGCGGCGGTGCGCGGGCACGTTGCATCGGCTGATGAGCTCGCGGCCTCTCTGGGCCTTCCTGGTTCCGAGGGTGGTCTCTCCGCGGTCCCAGTCCAGTTAGACAATTTGTTGCTGACGCGGGCCTCTTTGGCCCCTCAAGGGATGGGTGAGCGGGACTCGGCGGGGGAGTTGGGAGCCAGAGACCTTCGTAGAGCTTCGTGGGTGCTCCGCAAGGCTTCGCGCAGACGTTCCGTCCCTGCCTGGTCCCTCCCTGGCGAAATTTGGCTCATGCTTCTCCTGCCTAAGTATTTTAGCAAGCCACGTATTTCTCCCTTCGGAGTCGGCGGAAAGCCTGAGCCCCCTGAAGTGGAGGCCATCAAGATTGGTTTGGGAAGTCTGGCCACGTGCTGGCGGGTTGTGGGGAGGTTTCCTACGTGTGCGGGTTTTTCTCTCGGTTGGCAGACTCCCAAACCTGACGGCGGCACTCGGTTCTTGCACGGCCTCTGCCCCTTCTTCCGAGCCATCGCCAGGGGCATCTATAGGACGGTCCCACACGCTGCGCCCGCGGAGTACGACCACGGATGCATACCGCGACGCAGGCGAGAGAATGCCATTTTGGGCACGCAGATCTTGGCGGATCGCCTGCGGAGCGCACGCGTGTGGCACATTGCTGTTTTCGATGACATGAAGAATGCTTTCGGTTGCTGCGAGCACAAGCGCATGAATCAAGGACTTTTAGAGTATTTGCCAGCAGGGGATGTCGCCCTGCTCAGCGACAGGCGCACCACGCACCTACTTCACCTCGAGGGCGTTGATCGCCCCACCACCCTTCACCTCCAAAGCGGGGCTTTGATGGGGGACCCCAGTGCGCCCGACGAATTTCGAGTTGATTTTGCCCGCCCCCTCCAGGAGTGGCTCGCCCAGTTTCAGGACCCTGCTTTGTGCGTGTCGTGCCCCGTGTTCGGGCGCGAGGTCTATGCGGGCCTGTTCAAATACGTGGACGATCTGGCGTACTTTTTGCTACTCCAGGAGGGGGCACTTTCCGAGGCTGTCGCCACAGCGCGCGAAGCCCAGGCCAAGCTCGGCAATGCCCTGGCTGCGTACGGACACAAGCAAAACACGTCGAAACAAGTTTTGGTCCCCCGCCTCTGCGGCTACAAGGCCACCCGTCAGTTTTACGCTGCAGAGGTCGGGGGGGGCCCGCGTGGCCCCACACACCAGGTACTTGGGACCTCAGTTTCTGCCCTCTGGCGCCTTCTCGCATCAGCTTGCACTGAGTAAAGTAGCGGCCAACAGGGGGTGGATGTCTTTTAAGTATTTGTGGACCTCGGGGGCCCCTTTTAAGGTGAAGAGGCTAGTATTCATATCGGTGGTGCAAGGTGCGCTGTTGTCTGGACTTACGCCGTATCTCCTCACGGGCTCCCAAGAGGCCCAGCTCGACATCGCGCTCTTGGGTAAGATCCGTTGTATTGCTGCGGGGGCTCTGTGTGACCGTTCTGGAGATCATCCCATTAGTAAGGACTCTCGGGAGGTCTGGAAATGGATGAATATTGCCCCGTCTGGGGTCGAGTTGTTAGTTCAGAGACTTCGATGGTACCAGGCCATGGTTAGATGGCCCGAAGAACATTCCCAGGTCATCAGCCTCCTCTTCGGTCGCGTCGGCTTCGAGAATGCCCCCACCCTGTCCGAGGGCCGCCTCACCGTTCACGCCAACCCGTTCGCCGTTCGTTTTGTGACTGACGTTTACAGGCTCGAGCTTCTTACAGACTATGAAGACTGGCGCTCCGTCTGGGGCGAGGACATCCATGCGCTCTTCCATGACGACTACATATCGCATCAGTTTCTGGCGGCTGATGTTTCTGTTCTGCGCAAGATCTGGCAGAGCGGTAAGACTGAGCTGGACATTATCGATTTCGGACCCTGCCTCTCCGCCTCGCAGGATGGAATTGAGGAATTATTGGGTCCCTCTGGCTGCGTGCACGTATGCAGATGCACTACAGATGATGGAGACGTGTGTGGAGCCCGCTTCTTCACCCATGCTGCCCTTGTCGCGCACCAGACCCACGCCCAGGGCGGCTCTCATGGCAACTTCTCCTACTATGCCAGATGTGTCGTCACCAACCAGTGTCCAGCGTGTCGCACTTCCTTTGCTTTCCAGAAGACCGCGAAGGCTCACCTCTGTCGGGCGTTTCGGCAGGGAGTTTGCGATGTTCTCAGCGCGCATGCACTACATCCAGTGGTCGTCCCCAGGCTTGTGTGTCCTGTGTGCGCCACGTCTTCGTATTCCGATTTGGCTCAGCTCCAGGATCACATTTGCGAGCGGCACTTGCCTTTCATACCTGAGAGACGGACTGGCGATGGCGACCCCCAAGCCCAAGTGGATGCTGGAGAAGCGGCCGCCTGGGGCAGAGGCCGAGGGCGCACCCGTGCTGGCCAAGGCCAAGGGCGGCGGCCCCCCGCAGAAGGACAAGGGCGGCAAGAGCTCCGCTCCCACCCCAGGTTCCGCCTCCGACGCGGCCGCAGCCAGCGGCCCCAACAGCAAGCAGCAGCGCAATCGGCACCTCGGGCAGATCAAGGACATGGGGTTCACCAAGAAGCAGGCCAACTTCATCAACGTGATGGTGAAGCAGACGCTCATGACGACCCAGTTGGTGCGCGAGCTGTGGGCCGCAGGAGTGGACACGTACTTCCTGACCGCCGACCTGCCAGAGATCGAGGCCGTGCAGGAGGCAGGGGCGACATATTCACACGAAGTCCGAGCCCGAGGCAAAGGCCGCCAGCTCGGTCCTCCTCACCTTCATATATTCAATGGGTTCGTGACCAAGTTGCTAGAGCGTGGGCCCGCGCTGGGGCAGAGGACACACGCGATGCTCAAAGATTGGCACGCCAGAGTGTGGTGCGAGCTGCAGCCTCACGACCTCTACGACATGGTGCGGCTGTTCCGAGTCACGAAGTGCTACGACCAGAACAAGAGGAAGCTCCACCTGATGATGAGGGATGTGGCACAGCCGAGCGTACCGCCCGAATCAGACGAGCAGCAGCTGCCTTCGCCCTTGACAGTCCGCGGCCTGCTCCAGAAGGCCCTCGAGGAGATCGGCGGACGCAGGGCACTGGGCGCGGCGCCACCAGGCGCAATGGAGGAGATACTTCAGAACGCAGTAGACGCAAAAGATAGCAGGTGAGCATGCGTAGGATGCATGCGTTCATATTATAATTGCAGCGCGGGGCAGGCTCTACTTCAATTTCGGCCTCCTCCCCAATGCGCTGCACTACGTATCGGACGGTGACCGCGTGAAGTGATCATCCAATGACGGATCGTTGTCGCCTCCTCCCACCTGTCTCACGCTACCGCGAGGTCCGCCCCCCCCTGTTGGCCCACTCTTTCTGGCTAATTCCTTAGTTGTCCTTGACCCCTGGGGTCTGTTCGTGCCCTACGCGTCGGTGCGCGAGACCCTGGGGCCCAGCCTACAGGCCTGTCGGGGCCCGCTGGGCCCCTCCTGAACCTCATGACTTTTTTAGTCGTCCGACGGGTGCACTCTCGTACATATTACACGCCTGTGTGTTTAGCTTGCAAACCCACGAGTTTTTCACACGCATTATATACATGAGCTTGCCGCACGCTGTTCAGTCCGCCTCGGCATAGCAGGGACAGGGAGAGATGCGGGCCCAGAGTCGTATTTCATTCATTCACTCCTCGTCCTTCTCGTTCTCCTCCCCCTCCCCCTCCTCCTCCTCCTCCCCCTCATCATCCTCCTCCTCCTCGATCTTCCTCCTCCTCGTACTCCTCCTCCTCCGCCTCCGCCTCCGCCTCCTCCTCCACCTCCTCCCCCTCCTCTTCCTCCTCCGCCTCCTCCTCCTCGTCCTCCTCCTCGTGCTCCTCCCCCCCCCCTCGTCGACATGATCGTCATCTTCGTCGTCCTTCTTCACCTCCTCATCCTTCTCCTCCTCCTCCTCCTCCTCCTCCTCTTCCTCCTCATCCTCCTCCTCCTTCTGCTCTTCAATCCTCCTCATCCAGGAAAAGCATCGCGTCTCGAGGAGCGAGGTTTTTTGGCGCGTGTCGCCCCTGTCGGGTCTCTGGGGGGCTGCTCGTCGCCACGACTGGACCTTTCGGAAGTCCTTAGTCAAAAGCCTGGGTCACCCGCGGGGGGCGAAGGTAATCGCGCTTCGCGCGTCGCGTTCAGGACCAGAGCAGCTACCTTTCTCGAAGATGGCGGCGCGATGGCGCGAGTATCACCGAACGTCCCGCCCCGCGGGGCGCACAGCGCCAACTTGGGTGACCTAGGAAGCGCGAACCTCGTCTGGATCGTGCGATTCTCTTGCGTTGCGGCGTCCCAGGGCCTCCTCTTTCCCGTAGATGGCGGCCCCTTTCAGGTGCCTCGACGCGGATTCGACGCAGATCCCACGTGGATTCGACGCGGCGTCGACGCGGATGTGACGTGGATTCGTCGCGAATGCGACGGGGCCGGCTTGGATTTGACGCGTATCGATGCGGGCAGCGGCGCGATGGGACAGGCAAGGGCACACGAAGGCACAACATGAGGTATCTTTGCTGCTGCGCGCATTATGTTCGTCATTTTCTTCCCCTGTCCTTTCCTGTGGGAGTTCGGACGGTTCCTTCGCCACTCTTTCGAGTGGGAAAGGCAACATTAAGATGCATTATTGGAGGTCCGCGCAGATTTCTTGGATCGGCGCTGACCCCCCCCGCTGGTGGTGCCTTCGGTGCCACCCCTGGCGCGCCCCGCGCGCCAGGCAAGGGGGTCCAGCGCCGATCCAAGAAATCAGCGTGGACCTCCAGAATGTCAAGTCTACTTCTCCTTATCATATTCCTTCGTCCTCTCAGTTCTTGCCGCTTCCCATGTTGAGCCCGCTCTGCCATCGTGCATTCGCTGGCAGGTGGTAAAGGACTTCCAGTCGTTGCGGGGGGAAGTCCTCTGCAGTTGGAACTCGCATGTTTAAGGAAGACGTGGGAGGAGGAGACTGCAACAAAAACAAACCGTACGGATGTCTTGACCTAGCGCCAAGTAAGAAGACCGATGAGTGGCGTGACCATTTGAGTCGAGTGGTGCGTCCGATTGACGATGATGTGGTGCCTCCACGTTGGAGGGCACCCATAATACGCCCGCCCGCAGTCCGCGCTGTCAGCCGATGATTGCTGCGCCTGTGGCCTCCGCGCGTCGCATGCGGTAACGCATGTCGACGACCTGATGTTCCTGCCGCTGAGGAAGAAGTATCTGCAGAAGCACACACTTCCGGAGGTCCGCGTGGATTTCTTGCATCGGCGCTGGACCCCCTGGCGGCACCTCCTGCGCCGACTCTGGCACGAACCCATCCGCCAGACCAGCGGGGCCAGCGCGGATCTGGGAAATCCGCGCGGGGCTCCGACCGGTTAAGTTTGTGCAGGTTCTTCCTCTTCCTCTTTCTCGCCTGCACGACGGAGACGGTTTCAGTCTGGGCTCGAACGAGTCTCGTGTCGCCCGTCGCTGCAAGCCAGGGCGCCGACGCACCCGCCAGTGGTGCGCAGCCTTGGCTACCTTTCCAGTCAGCGGCCGAGGGCCCTGCACGGTTTTGGTGGACCATTTTCTGTGTCGCGAGGAGTGCATCGATGCCAGCTGCTCGCTGCTGTCTTTCGGAGAAAGGTGCGCGCACAGTGCCGTTTTTAGTGCATGCTCCGCGTGCGGATCATGTATTAAAAGTGCAGGGACTCAGTACACAAAAACAACGATGAATTCATGCATCAATTTACTCAGAAATTGATCGTGTATCAAAATCCTATATTTGAAAAAAAATCTTAGGTATTAAAAACTGCCCTGTAATCCAAGCCTCCAGGCGGACTGCGTTCGACATTTTCGGCCTCTGGGGGCACTCGCCGGACCCCGGGACAGTCAAAAACTGGCTCCCGATGGAATAGCGGTTCCGGGGAATGGGTACATCGACGTTCTGAAAAGGATCGTGACGTCGGGGGTCTGGGACAGGCGGGGGGCTGGCCGGCAGCGGTTCGAGTCCAGGCCTCCCAGATGGGCACGGAGTGGAAGGGATCGAAGGATCGCGGCGCATCGCCGGTGCATCGGCGATGCGGCTCGATGTGGAGCTCGTCTTTCTCCACGTCGGCGTCGCCGATGCATCGCCGACGGCGCCGATGCATCGGCGATGCAGTGCGATTCTTCGACCACATCCACTTGAACCCGATGTGATTTGGGAGGCCACGACATACAGTCGGGGCGCTGAAGAAGGAACCTTTTTCGTTGGGGAGGGGCTCGGTGTTCCTTGACTGTTTCAAAGTTTGCCTCGGGTTTCCTGAGGTTTCCATAGGAAATCGGGGTTGAACTTATGGGAAAAAGGGGCCTCGTTCCTTATTTAGGGTTCCTTGGGTCAACGCCCCGACTGTAGCATAAACTTTCGGAGGTCGGCGCGGATTCGGGGGGTGGACGCTGGACCGCCTCGGCAGCGCCTCCGCCGCCGCCCCCAGCGCGCTCGGGATCGAGCGCCGAGCAAAATGATCCGTGCGGACAATCGAAAGTCGACTCCAACTTTTATAATACAGGGGGGGGGGGTCACAAACCTCCCAGACGAGCCATTTTAGACCACCCCCCCCCGTCTGGGGCGACCTCCTTCAAAAAGCAGCCCCCCCCAGGACGTGCCAAGACGAGACGATCCAGACCCCCCCAAGAAGGCAACCTCGGCGAACAAAACGACAGACCCCCCCCAGGACATCACCGAAGCCAGACCCCGCGCCCAAAATGGCAGACCCCCCCCTTTTATTACAAAAGTTGGAGTATGTTTATGCGAATTGTTTCCCTTCTGGATACGAGCTGTTCGTCGTTGTCTTGCTTTGTTGCAAAGCATTCCTTTCGCGGCTGCATGATTTCCAATGTTAGCGTTGCCCCCACGCGGCAGGTTAGCGCTCAGTCGACGCGGCGGCGACTCTAGCACGGGCATTCAAGGTTGAACGCCGCCAATGGCCCAGAATCGTCCGATATCGAAAGATCGGTATTATCGGAGAGCCCAAGTCTGTCAGGGCTGGATTATCCCCGATGTGGCAGAACGCAGCGTCGATTTCATCTTGGCGATCAACAGCCGCAGTTACTGAGCATCCACGTGCATCTCTCCAGGTTCAAGGGCTCGCCATGCCAACTTGAGGCTGCCATCTACGGCTACCGTCGTGTGCTAACAGCAGTTGCCAGTATTCGAAAAAAGAAAGAAGGCCATAAACAGAAATGTTTGGCTTTCCGCGCGGATTTCTCGGATCCGCGCTGGGCCCCCCTGGTGGCGCCTCCAGCGCCACCCCTGGCGCGCCGGAGGCGCGCCAGGGAGGGGGCCGCAGCGCGCATCCGAGAAATGCGCGCGGAGCGCCAAAAGTTTACGTATGTGTTTTTTTCTTTCTTCTGAGGAAGCACTCGGGCGTGCTGACTGCATCTCACCGGCCCAGAGAGCGAGCAGTGCCGCTCGGCCGCCCACGGCACCGCGCCGGCGCAGGCATCGCAGGGGCGAGTCCAGCGGGCGCCCCGGCAGGCCCGGCAGAGGCTCCGAGGGGGCCCCGGCTCCCGGCACGGTGCGAAGGAGTCTGCGGGTCGGCCGCCGAGCGGCTCGGTGGTGTGCCAGCTCGGCGGCCGAGCTGAAGGCCTCCTGGACGGGGGTCGGAGCAGAGGGGGTCGGAGGATGGCGCCGCACCGCCGACGCATCGGCGAGGCGGCTCGATGTGGAGCCCGTGTTTCCCCACGCCGACGTCGCCGGTGCATCGCCGACGTCGCCGATGCGTCGCGGATGCATCGGCGGTGCACTGGCGATGCGGCGCGATCCTTCGGCCCCGACCTCCTCGGGCCCCATGCAGGAGGCCTCGAAGGGTGGGAGGGAGCGGCGGGCTCGGCCGCCGAGCGGCTCGGTGGTGTGCCAGTTCGGCGGCCGAAGAGGCTCGGAGGCCACACGGGCTCAGAGGGGTCGCCCGGAAGTGGCGTTCCCGCACGCAGCGCGGCGCAGCTGGACGAGCGAGAATGCAGCGGTGGCGTGTCCGCACGGCGCGTGCTTCGGCTTCGCCGTGGCCCTCGGAAGCTGTGCAGCCCCCGCCCCTTTGCGCAGCCCGCGCGGTTCTTCCTTCGCCAAGGCGTTGGACGCGGGACCGCGCGCGTATTCCTTGCGTTTGCGCGGTGGGAGCGCGTTCCAGTCCCACTATCAAGTCGTGGCCAAATCGATGTTTAAGCTGTGGGTTAGAGGGTGGGAACACAAAACCCTCTGACTCGCTGGACCTGGTTAACTTGACCCTAGGCCCCACACATAGGCCTACCCCGAAAACCCGGGGGTAGGGCTTCCTTAGTCTACCCTCGGGCCTAGGGTAGGCCTTGCCGCAGACTACCTTAGAGCTTAGGGTAGGGCCTACCTCAGGATACCTGGAGGCCCAGGGTAGCCTGCACCCCCTGGGGTCCATGATCCCACATCCGACTGTGCTGACAGAAAGGGGCCCGACGCAATGGCAAGGGATGGTGGGGAGGGGTAGGACGTCACATACAGTGGAGGCCCATGCCAAGAAGCGCCCTGCTTGCCTCCAGGGTGCCCTGGGTTTCTTGGGTTTCGATGGTTCTGCGACGGAGAGCGCGACGTTCCCACACCAGAAATCGATGGACGTCCTGGGGTCTCAGGGTTGGGTTTCTTCTGGTAGGCTTCCTGTGGACTGGCCTCCACTCTATGACGCGAGCGCACCCAGCTGTGCCCCATCCCACAAGGAATCCCGACAGCCCTGAGATCTCCTCGAGAGGCGTCCGCGATTCCATTGACCCCCCAGGTCCAGGGAGGAGGAAGGTGATGGAATGAGGAGGGGTGCGAGGGGTGAGGAAGAGGAGAAGGAGGAGGAGGAGGAGGAGGAGGAAGAGAAGGAGAGAGGAGTGCCGTTGAAGCCCCCAAGATGGTATCCTCTCATGGTCGCCCATTCCCCCCCCCTCCCTCCCTCTGGAGCCCGCGCTGGCGCCGGCGCGCAGGCCGCGCCCCTGGGCGACGCGGCGCCGTGCGAGGAGCGCCGCACCCCCCCCCCCGCCCCTCGCTCCGTCCTCCCTCCCGCCCTGCCTCCGTCCATCCCCCATCCCTCCTCCTCCTCCTCCTCCTCCTCCTCCTCCTCCTCCTCCTCCTCCTCCTCCTCCTCCTCCTCCTCCTCGGCTCCCTCCCTCCCTCCTTCTTCTCGCTCGTCCTTCCCGCCCACTTCCAATCCACCCCGCCTGCTTCCTCTCCTCCTCCCCCCTCAACCTGGGGCTGGCGGCGCTGGCTGGGAGTCAGTGAGCCGTAAAGGCGACGGCGAGAAAGAGGGAGAGGAGAGCCGTCGTAGGACGGGGATCGTCGGCCGTCGTCGATCGTCGTAAGCCGTGGACGAGATCGACGAGGAGGAGGAGGAGGAGGAGGAGGAGGAGGAGGAGGAATGGTCAACATCCAGTCAGCGACGAGCCCCGCAAACTCCGAAGGGTCGGGCACGCGCTGGCGCCGATCGGGGCTCCACGGATCCGGCGCGCGGGCGCCAGGTCCACGCATCGGGGGAGGCGCCCCTCGAAGCGCGAGGCTGGTGCCCCCCGGATTCTGCGGCGGAGCGCGCCGGTTCTTCGCGGAAGCGAGGCCTGTTGTTGATCCATGATGTCTCTCGCTTCGCGGGGTGCACGTCCAGATCACGAAAATTCTTCGCCGCATCACTTAGCTGCGTGCGCTCCCGCACGGACACTGGGCACGACTGAACACGTGCAGCTGGCTGGCGCCATCCTGAGAGAGACAGAGCCTCGGGACGCCCAGCCAGCGGAGCGCAACACAGGGCGGGTGGGCGGGAAAAACACCACCGCACGCGCCCACGGCGCCTCAGGGAGACACCCGAAGACCTCGCCCACACCGCAGTGCCAGCAGACACCCGCGGCACGCAGAACGAGGTACCGACAGACACACCCCTCACACGTTTCGTGGCTCCATCGGGAGCTCCACCGAAGGCCCCAGTGCCACCGCCCGCATGCATCCCCCACACCCAATTTGGCACTTTCACCAACCCAGTACAGCGTTTCGTTGCCCCACAGGGAGCTCCACCGAAGCCCCCAGTGGGACCGCCCGCGTGCGCCCGCCACGCCAAATTTGGCATTTTCACTCACCCAGCACAGCGGTTCGTGACCCCATGGGGAGCTCGACCACACGCGCCCCTCACATCCAGTTTGGCATTTTCACCCACCCATTATAGCGCTTCGTGGCCCAATAGGGAACCCCACCGAAGCCCCACTGGGACCGCCCGCATGCGTCCCCCCCACACCCAAGTTGGCACTGTCACCCACCAAGTACAGCGCTTCGTGGCCCCATAGGGAGCTCCAGCGGAGCCCCCAGTGCGACCGCCCGCACGCGTCCCCCACACCAAATCTGGCATTTTCACCCACCCAGTACAGCGTGTCGTGGCCCCGTAGGGAGTTCCACCGGAACCCCCAATGCCACCGCGCCCCCTACGCCCAATTTGCCATTTTCACCCACCCGGTACAGCGATTCGAGACCCCATAGGGAGCGCCACCGAAGTCCCCAGTGGTACCGCCTACATGCGACCCCCACATCCAATTTGGCATTTTCACCCACGCAGTACATCGTTTCTTGGCCCAATGGAGAGCCCCACCGAAGCCCCCAGTGGGACCGCCCGCATGCGTCCCCCACACCCACCTTGGCATTGTCACCCACCCAGTACAGCGTTTCGTTGCCCCGTAAGGAGCTCCACCGAAGGCCCGGTACCGCCCACATGCGTCCCCCACATCCAACTTGGCATTTTCACCCACCCAGTACAGCGCTGCGTGGTCCGATGAGGAGCGCCACCGAAGCCCCCAGTGGGACCGCCCGCATGCGCCCCCCACACCCAACTTGGAATTGTCATCCACTCAGTACAGCGCTTCGTGGCCCCATGGGGAGCCTCACCGAAGCCCCCAGTGGGGGCGCCCTGGCTCGCCATTGCCTCCAAACACCCCCCTCTGGCCCTTCGTTGGCGGCCAGGCGTCGGCGCTAATCACCGGCGCCGCCCCGTTGATTTTCAATCTGGCGGGCGCCACCCCGCGATTCGCACGAGCACGGGAATTATTTCCCAACCATATTGTGGCGTTGGGTCCTCGTTTTGAACAGACGGTCCTCTTCTCCTCCTCTTGCCCCTCCTCTTCTCCACCGCAGGCATGCGCCCCCCACACCCAATTTGGCACACCCCTCACACGCTTCGTGGCCCCATTGGGAACTCCACCGAAGGCCACAGTGCCACCGCCCGCATGCGTCCCCCACACCCAATTTGGCACACCCCTCACACGCTTCGTGGCCCCATAGGGAGCTCCACCGAAGGCCCCAGTGCCACCGCCCGCATACGTCCCCCACACCCATCTCAGCACACCCCTCACACGTTTCGTGGCCCCATAGGGAGCTCCACCGAAGGCCCCAGTGCCACCGCCCGCATACGTCCCCCACACCCTATTTGGTACACCCCTCACACGCTTCGTGGCCCCATTGGGAACTCCACCGAAGGCCCAAGTGCCACCGCCCGCATGCGTCCCCCACACACATGCCGGCACACCCCTCACACGTTTCGTGGCCCCATAGGGAGCTCCACCGAAAGCCCCAGTGCCACCGCCCGCATGCGCCCCCCCCCCACACATGTCGGCACACCCATCACAAATTTCGTGGCCCCATAAGGAGCTCCACCGAAGGCCCCAGTGCCACCGCCCACATGCGTCCCCCACACCAATTTCAGCACACCCCTCACACGCTTCGCGGCCCCATAGAGAGCTCCACCGAAGGCCCCACTGCCACCGCCAGCTCGGCACATCCCAGTGCCACCGCCCGCATGCGCCCCCCCACACACATTGCCACCGCCCGCACGCGTCCCCCACACCCATTTCGGCACACCCTTCACACGTTTCGGGACCTCATATGGAGTTCCACCAGAGGCCCCAGTGCCACCGCCCGCATGCGCACACACACACAATCCGGCACACCTCTCACACGTTTCGTGGCCCCATATGGAGTTCCACCGAAAGCCCAATGCCACTGCCCGCATGCGTCCCCCACGCACATTTCGGCACACCCCTCACACGTTTCGTGGCCCCACAGGGAGCTCCACCGAAGGCCCCAGTGCCACCGCCCGCACGCGTCCCCCACACCGATTTCGGCACACCCCTCACACGTTTCGTGGTTCCGTAGGGAGCTCCAACGAAGGCCCCAGTGCCACTGCCCGCATGCGTCCCCCACGCAGATTTCGGCACACCCCTCACACGTTTCGTGGCCCCATAGGGAGCTCCACCGAAGGCCCCAGTGCCACCGCCCGCACGCGTCCCCCACACCGATGTCGGCACACCCCTCACACGCTTCGTGGCCCCATGGGGAGCTCCACCGAAACCCCCAGTGCCACCGCCCGCATGCGCCCCCCCCTCCCGGTGCAGCGCTTCGTGGCCCCATAGGGAACTCCACCGAAGGCCCGAGTGCTACCGCCCGCATGCGCCCCCTCCACCCAGTACAGCGTTTCGTGGCCCCACAGGGAGCTCCACCAAAGGCCCCAGTGCTACCGCCCACATGCGCCCCCCCCAACTTAGTGCAGCGCTTCGTGGCCCCATAGGGACCTCCACCCAAGAAGATATTCACAACTGCGGTATTCACAGCTGCATATGGTTGGGTCCTTCGCCAGGATACTTTGTTTAACACGCGCCCCCACGGATTTGTTAATCACAAGCTGACACGACAGTACAGTAGTAGTTGTTTTCCCCTCCGCGCGTTGCCACGTTTCAAGGAGAGTGGAGCAGTATTTGTTTCGTTCCCTTGGCGTTGCCACGTGGCGAGCAGAGCGGAAACATGTGTGCTCCGACTCGCAAGCGTTGCCACGTGGCGAGTCGCGGAGTGGAGTACGAGGAGGAGGAGGAGGAGGAGGAGGAGGAGGACGACGACGACGACGACGACGACGACGACGAGGAGGCAGGGGAGGAGGGGGAGGAAGAGGACGAGGCGGGGGCGAGGAAGGCTACCGAGGGTGTCGGGGTGGGCCGCCCTTGGGGTTTTCGGGCTTCGCCCCTCCGGATGTTCGGACTTCTGCCAGTTTTAGGGTTTGGCCTTCTCTAGATTTTCGGATCGGCGCCAAAGTCTAGTTTTAAATCTAGGGTTTTGGTCCCAGTTTTAGGGTTTGGCCCCAGTTTAGGTCCCAGTTTTAGGGTTTGGCCCTCTCTAGATTTCAGGGTTTGAACCCTCTCTAGATGTTCGGATTTCGCCTCGGGTTTTTGTTCGGGTTCACCCGCTTGCCGGATTCGGCCCCTTTGGCTTTGGGCGCCCGAAGTGGATGTGGAAAAATTGCACACCGCGCCCAGCAACAAAGGTCGTCCAAAACCGACAGCGGCCGCTGTCGGGCAGGCGGCATCCTGTTTCAAGTTCGACTACACGTCGTGGTAAGGGTGGCCTTTCGCCAGACTGACTTCTGGTGCGGGCCCCATGAGACCCCCCGACCGCCGACCGCGCATTCGGTAGCAGCGTCTTGCGCGCTCGTCTGGTCCCCCCGCGGTCCCCAGAAAGCCGCGCACCAAAGGTCACTCTTACCCAGGGACAGTCGTGCGTGTACTTACCCAGGGACATTCGTGCGTGTAGTCGACAGATGGACAAGGAGCGCGGCGACGCCGGCTGCGCTTCTGTTCAGAACGAGCCAGGACTGCTGTTGGACGCTGCGCCCACTTGTTGCCGTGCCCATCTCGATCGCCCCGATCGGCCCCCCGCCCCTGCTCAGGAGGGACAGAGGTAGCACGAGACAATTGATCGTCGACTCCCAGGAGGATGTGGGGAAATGATTATGGGAAGAGGAGCGAGCGAGCGAACCTCGAGGAATCCACAATCATCCTGCATCTACAGTGCCACTACGCCAAACTCGTGTCGTGACTCCATTGCAGACAGGCTTGGATTCTGAGACATGGGAAGAGGAGGGGGGGGAAGACGAGAGCCCAGGAAACGTGCTGGGAACCCTGGGATCTGTGCCTCTTTGGTGGTGTGTCCTTGGGCCCCCCTCCCTGCCAGGACCTGGAGGAGCTCCGGCAGAAGATGTGCTCCACCCTCCAGGGAGCTCTGGAGGGCGGCCGCCTCGGCGCCGCCACGGAGGCTGGGCGCCCGCGGGGGGAGGAGGAGGAGGAGGAGGAGGAGGAGGAGGAGAGGGAGGAGGAGGAGGAGGAGGGAGGAGGAGGCGGAGGAGGAGGAGGAGGAGGAGGATGAGGAGGAGGTAGGAGAGGAAGGAAAGAGAGCAGGAGGAGAGGGAGGAGGAGCAGGAGAGGAGAGGAGGAGGAGGAGGAGGCGGAGGAGGACAGGAGAGGCAGGAGGAGGAGGAGGAGGAGGAGGAGGAGGAGGAGGAGGAGGCGGAGGAGGAGGAGGGGGGGGGCCCTCCCAGCAGCCAGTTCGAGAAGGACTCGGGAGCCTCGAGACGGGGGTCAATACAAACGGGGGTCAGCCACGGCACCGGATCCTGCGAGATCCTGCGAAGACCTTTTCTGGCTGACCCGGATTAGCGAGCCGCTCGTGGCCGCGAGGCGGCCGCACGTGTTGGCTGACCCGGGTTTGCGAAGACTTGCGTTGCCGTTTTTTTCTCCTGCATTGCAGTTTTTGGCTTCCTGCTGACCCGGGTCTGGATTGACCTGGGTCAGAAGATCCCCGGCGACGGGTCCCGATTCCATGTGAAGTCGCGGATTTCCGCCGCCGAACGAGGCGGCACCGGCAGCATTTTGGGGAGGGCACCTCCCCAAATCCATGGATTTGGCGACCGCGCGCCAAGTCCATGGATCGCTAATCCATGTTTGCGCGCCCCCCGATTCGTCGGTTTGGATTTTCTAGATGTCGGGCATCGGTAAGGTCGAAGTGGGTACCTCCTGGGTGCCTTAACACGCGCGGGAGGCACCCTCCCGACGGGGGCCCAACCTCGCCTCGCCGTCGCGCCGCGACGGGGGTCGGAGCGCCGCCGGAGCGCGGTGGCTGCCCGCGGCGGGGGTCGATGTGGGGCTGCCGGCGGGGTTGGCGCCCCCCCGGCGCTTCCTGAGAAACACGGAGTAGGGGCATGTTTGGGGTATTTGTTATGTTTCGTCGAAAATCCATTTGTAGGGGGACAGGCCCGACGTAATTCTAGCTGGTTCAGGGTTCGGGGCTTCGGGATTGGGGCTCGAGCTGCTCGGCTTGCGCGTCGGTTTGCGCGCCTGCGCCCCAGGCACTTGATGATCATGATGATGCGGGCCCGGAAAGAATCGGTACGAAGGCAGCATGCCCTGATCGTTTTGAATGAGGACTCGCAGTCGGTGTCGCAGCGCGGACGTTGCCTTTGTTGGGGACGGGGGCCGCCTGCCCAGCAGCGGCCGCTGTCGGTTTGGGACGACCCTTTGTTGCTGGGCACCGGGCCCACGTTTGCCCGCGGGCCTTTGACTTCGCTGCCAGTCGGGTTTTGGACTGCAGAAGTCCCGGAGTGATCCTTGAAGAGCTGAGAGGGCTTCAGGTTAGAGGCCGGAAGGCAGAGCTGCGCCAGCTCCTCTCCGAGGCTCCCGGTCAGGCATCCTCGCGGCGCCCTGCTCGAGCTCGCAGCGTGTTCTGGCCAGCGTGTTCCTACTCGTTCCCAGTGCGCGTGCCCCGAAGCTCTCCGGAAGGTCCTGCGAAGCTCTCTGGAAGCTCCTTCGAAGCTCTCTCGAAGCTCCTGGGAAGCTTGAGGTCGCAACGTGTCGGTTCGATTCGACCACGAGCTCCAAAAGTCCGACCTCGCCTTGGGCCTCCTGGTGCAGGCCTCGGCTCGGGCCGCTGGGCGGCGATTCCCCGATCTGCCCGCCGATCTCTGCCGCTTCGGAGCGTTCCGGTTCTTGCCGCTTCCTTCCTCCCTCCTCCCTCCTCCCTCCTCGATTCGATGCTCCGATGCGATGTCTGCGGGTTCGATATTCGATGTTCCGATTCGAGTGCCGATCTCTGCGGCTTCGATTCGGCTTTCCGGTCCTCCGATTCGATTGCCGATTTCTGCCGATGCGGTGCTCCGACTCGACCTCGGGTCATCATCATCCTCCGGCACAGGCTCCAGCGGGTCGAGGGAGGAGGACCGAGGTTTTCGAGGAGCATCTCCGAGGTCCGATCGCATCGAGGATCGAGGAGGATCGAGGCTCGAGATCCGAGCGTTGCAAGTGGTTCGCACCGGGCGCTGTCGCCCAGGCTCGGGCCCTCCTCCTCCTCCTCCTCCTCCTCCTCCTCCCTCCTCCTCCTCCTCCTCCTCCTCCTCCTCCTCCTCCACCTCCCCCTCCCCCTCCCCCTCCCCCTCCTCTCCTCCTCCTCCTCCTCCTCCTCCTCCTCCTCCTCCTCCTCCTCCTCCTCCTCCTCCTCCTCCTCCTCCTCCTCCTCCTCCTCCTCCTCACAGGGCCACGTCCAATGCAACCAGCGGCGAGGAGCAGCTGTCCTCGGGCAGGGACCCGAGAGGCCCAGGGGGCCACCCCCACGCAGCTCGGGAGGGCGCCGCGGGGACCGTGGGGGGGGGGGCACCGGGAGCGTAGGGCGCGCGGCCACGGCTGAACCCCCCCCCCCCCCAAAAAAAACCTCCTCCTCCTCCTCCTCCTCCTCCTCCTCCTCCTCCTCCCTCCGCCTCCTCCTTCTCCTCCTCCTCCTACCTTCCTACTCCTACTCCTACTCTACTCCTACTCCTACTCCTAACTCCTCCTCCTCCTCCTCCTCCTCCTCCTCCTCCTCCTCCTCCTCCTCCTCCTCCTCCTCCTCCTCCTCCTCCTCCTCCTCCTGCCACTATTGCCTATTGTCGACTGCACGCAAGAAAGACCCTTCGCCGGAGTGACCTTTGGTGCGGGCCCACTCGAGCCCTCCAACCTCCGAACGCGATGCGATGCCATCGGCTTACGCGCTTGGGTTTGGTCACCCCGCGCCGCCCGTTGAGCCGCGCACCAAAGGTTACTCTTTTCCAGAGTCACTTTTGCGTGTGGTCGATGCAGGTGCCAAGATGCTCCTGCATCGGAGGCTAACAGAATCCCCACCTTGCCTCGTTGCGTCTCGCGCACGCTTGCCCGTGGAGTCTGTGTTCTGGCTAGCCCTCTTGAAAGGCAGCGGATTCATCCTCCTCCTGCCTTGCCTGATCGCCGTGAAAGAGAATTCGGGGAAACGTAAGACTCGAGTACGCCGGAACTCGGGTTTCCCGGCACTTTTTGACGAGCGCGTCCTCGATTCGGACGGCCCAGTTTTCGTGGGGTGTTTGCAGCAAGAGCTCGCGTCAAATTTCAGATTGGGTCTCCTCGTTTTCAGGGTGGCCCCGTCAGACCAACCCGAGTCCCCCGAACCCGAGTCTCACGTCTCCCCGATCATTGTTCACCTCGTACCAAATCACCCCAACCCAACCCGAAGGCTCCAATCTGCTCTCCATGTCTTGCGGGGGGGTAACCCAGAGCATTGGAAAAGCCCAATGGAACCCATACGCTTCCCAACCCGAAATCAGGGGATTTCTGGGTTGGGGTGGGGTGGTCTGGTAGGTCCATGCGCATGGGTCAGACCGGCCAGTTCTTCTTGCCACGCGTGCCCGATCACGTGTTCGGTGACGGTGTCGTTCCAAATGATTGTGTTGTTTGCAGTTGCGCGTCCCTGGGTGCATTTTGCATACAGTGCTGACGCGCGTGGAGTATCAAAATGCATCTCGTCAGAGTACCTTGGGTTGCTTCGCTGCGCTCGCTGTGCGGCGACTGCCCGTGGGCTTTGAGAGGAAGGTGCTGCATACGGGGCGCCTTGCGTTCCCCCCTGAATTGCAACTCACGAGCGCATGTGTTTGAGGGTTGGGCTTCTTACGAAGGTTCCTTGCGCCGCCCCCGCTCTGTGTCGCACGTCCACGCAGCTGCAATGCTTGTGTGCGTTTATGTCTTCGTGCGGCTGCTTTCGGACTGGGGCCATGCCTGCAGAACGCATACGGCAGGTTCGCGTCGTGCCAGCGCGGCGGCGACCCAGCCGCGGGCGTTCAAGGTTCAACGCCGACAGTGGCCCAGGATCCATCGATATTGAACGATCCGCTGTTTCGCAAAGCGCCCAATGCTCAAGATTGAGCGGTCCACGCGGTGCCAGGGACCAACGCCGAAGTCGTGACGACAAGAACCCGCCGCAGGCACGGTGGCAGACGCTTTTCTTCCCGACTCGACCTGGCCGCGCCATATATACATATATACACATATATATATATATATATATATATATATTATTATATATATACATATATATATATATATATCCCGGGTCGAGGGTTCACAGGCCCCCCCACACCCAGATGGGATGGGCCCCAGGGCTCCACAGGCCCAAGGGGGGGGGGACGACGACGCCCACGCCCGCGCCCACGCCCACTTCGCCCACGCCGCCGCCGACGACGACGACGACCCCGACGCCGACGCCCACGCCCACGCCCACGCCCACGCCGGCGCCAGCGCCGGCGCCGTCGCCTACGACGCCGACGCCCACGCCCACGCCCACGCCCACGCCGGCGCCGGCGCTGACGCCAACGCCGCCGACGCCGACGGACGACGACGACGACGACGACGACGACGACGACGACAACGAGCAACTCCACACCCGCAGGGAGAGGGAGGGGGGTGCACCGGCACCCTCCACGCCACGCCCATTCAGGGTCACGGCCACAGGGGGGGAGCAGCGATATCCCATGCGCGAGGCCTTCTCGCGAGGCTCACGCGAGGCTGCCCATCCGGGGGGCTCGATCCCGTATGCATTGGGGGGGGAGGGGGGGGGCAACTTTGGATCCTACATTGTCGGGGGCGGCAAAGAGGGGGGTGATGACTAGGAGGGGGGGATCTCATGGCGTGGGCCATGATATCTCCCCAGATCTCATGGCGCCTCTTCTTGTTCTATCACGTCCCTGGCCCCCTTGGGCCGCGCACATGTCGTCTGTCATGATTTGCGCCCCCCCCTCTTTGACGCCCCCCTCTTGGCCGCTCCCGAGCATTGGGGGGGCAGGGGGGGCAACCCTGGATCATATATTTATGATGTTCCAACCGACTTTAGTTGTGATCACCAGAAAGAAGTTCGAGCACCAGAGAAAAGCACCTATTCAAACTCGAGGGCTTTCACGTTTCGGGCCCTGGGAGACACTCTTTCGACATTCTTCTGGGTGCTCGATATCATTTCTGGGATGTTCGGAGGTTGATAGACCTCCTACCCTGACACGTCGACTAAGAAATTGGCCGTTTTCGGTTCGCGAGGGGGCGTTGCGGCCGTCGTTTTTGCGGGTCCAGGTCCGTCGGTTTCGGTCCCAGGCCGTTTTCATTAAGGGGAGGTTTACAAATGGGAGGTTTGTCCACCGCCGAGATGTGGTCCTCAAGTACGATGGGAGCAGCATAATCATATATGCGATTCCCCGCGAGGCCGTACCTGCGTGCGCCCCCAAGGCGGACGTGGTGGCGCCGATGGAAGGCGGGCCCTCGCCGCTTGCTTGCCCACCCGCCGAATGCATGGAGCAAGAGCCGACCAGGAAGGGAAGAGGAGGAGGAGGAGGACCTCCTCCTCCTCCTCCTCCTCCTCCTCCTCCTCCTCCTCCCCCTCCTCCTCCTCCTCCCTTCGTCCTCCTCCTCCTTCTCTTCTTCCTCCTCCTCCTCCTCCTCCACCTCCTCCACCTCCTCCTCCTCATCCTCCTCCTCCTCCTCCTCCTCCTCCTCCCCCTCCCTCGTCCTCCCAGGGTTGTTGCTTGGAGCCAGCTGGGGTGCCAAGATGGCCCAGCACGAATTCCAGTCAGCAGAGAAAGGATAGGGAGGGGCCCCATCGTCGCCACGGCCGGACGCGGCTCGAGAAACTCGTCGGTCTCGACCCCAGGAGGGGTCCAAGCAGGGACCGATGTTGAGCGGAGTTGCCGTCGCCCCCCCCCCCCTCTTGACCGATTTTCTCGTGGCCCATCCAGCGCAGAAGCCCCCAGCCGCCTCCAAGCTGTAACAGATCACCAAAGGTTTACATTCAAGAGGCTTACGCCATTCCGCGACTCTCGTTGGAGGCTTGAAGTCCACGGTTGAGGGGTCGTGGGCTTCTTGGGCACTATGGGGAGATTATTGTGGGCGTCTTGGGAGCTGTTTGGGAGCTTGGCTGAGCCTCTTGGAGGCAGTTTTTGAAGCGTGTTGGGGGCCGCTGTGGGGTCTCTTAGGGGCCTCTTGTGGCTTACTCCTCTTCTGGGTCGCATGGGGGCGTATTGGGGCATTTAGGGGGGCATCTTGGGGCGGAAAGGTGGAATGTTCGGTTGTTGTTCTCCCTCTTCGTGTCTATTGTGGCCCCGCTGGGACGATCTTTAGCAGCCCCTCTTTGAACACAGATTCCTGCACGCTGGCAAAATTGAACACGCGGCTGCTGCACTGGGCCCCATGGTTCAGGACGCGGGCATGCAGGCGCCCAGGGAGACCGTGCCAGCGCTGGGCGGACGACCTTTAAGACTCCGGTCGCCGGTCTCTGATTATATAAGCATCTCATTCGTATTGCCACAAACAAGCAACATGGCAAAGCCAGGATTGCAGCAAGTCTTCCGTTAGTGCCACTTGTGCGCCCAGCCAGCTGGTCTTGTGTGTCCTTTCTTCCTGCCTTGTCCTGTCTCTGGCTCTCGGCTCCTCCTCCCTCCTCCCCCTTTCCGTGTCCTCCCCCCCTTGCCCTTGTGTTTCCTTGCCCTTGCGTCTTGTGTGCTCTCCCTCCGTCTCCTCGCTTGGCTTCCCTTCCCTTCCCCGTCTCCTCGTCTGTCCGTCCGTCGGCCTGTTCTGTCCTTTCCTGTCGTCCCTCCTCGCCCCCTCCCCCTCTCGCTCCTCGGCTCCTCGCTTTCCCGTCGGCCCCTGTTCCTTGCCTTGCCCGCGTTCTCTTTGTCGGCCTGTCCTGTTGTCCGAATAAGAAAACGCTGTATTTTCCACGTGTGTTCACGCCCACGCGCCGCCTGGTGCGTGGCTCGTCTGTCTGATTGCCAGTCCCACTCGGTCTGCCCAGGCGCGCTTCCGCGTGCCGTCAGGGGCCCGGCCCGCCGCGGCCGGTCAGCAGACCGTTTCTTTATTTTTTTCTTCTTCGGGTCGTCTTGGAACCCTCTTGGGCCGTCCTGGCGCCCTCGTTGAGGCCTCTTGGGCAGTCTGGGGCGGTCCACGGGGCACCTCGGGCCGTCCTGGAGCGTCGGCAGCTCGAGAAGACGACAACCCAAAAAAATCAATGGAAAGCATTAGGTGACGGTTGCCTCTCGGGGCCTTCTTGGGAAGGCTCGTGGGGCGTCTCGAAGGTTTCTTGGGACGTCTTGGAGCCATCGTGGGCGTCTCGGGCCAATTGCTCCGCGATTCGGGACCGTCTTGCAACGCTTCTGAGGCCACGGGACGGCAGATTTGGAAGCTCCGGAGTCTCCAGAGGTGCGCCGAGGAGCCCGGACACCCTCCCAAACAAACTTGATTTTGGACCTTGGGGGAGGAGGACAGCCACTCATCTCACAAGCCTTCTCACACCCAGCAAGCGGGGGTCGGTGGATTGTCACGGGGCTTATACAGCGCAGACCCCCCAGCCGCCTATAAGGTGCTGGGACAGTACCACATATATACATATATATATATGTGTACTTGGTTATTGAGTGATGTATGTATTCATGTATTCCGTTTGTTCGTATGGATTCATTCATTCACTCATTCATTCGTACATGTAGCTTTGTATTAATTTAATCATTTGTGTATACATACATGTGTGTACTATGTTCTGTACGTATGCATGTGTTTGTTGAGTGTTTGCTTAGTGAGGTACGCGTGCACTTGTTGATGTATCATGGGCTTGCGTATGTATGTATGGATTGAGTTACGAATTTGTTTAACATGTATGTATGTATGGATTGTTGTGTTGAAGTATATATGTATGTGTATGTGTAGTTATGTACGCATTCAGTTATTAAGGTGTGCTGTGTCATTGATGTAGTATGCTTGTAGTTAACTATGTAGTTATATGTGTATGTTCGTATGTGTAATATATATATATATATATATATATATATATATATATATGCATGCATGTGTATATATAGATACATGTAGATGTGTGCATGTAATTGTTCATTCCCTACCTAGGCTCTGTCTAGAAAGGGTTCTTACTCTCTGGGCTTAAAGGGGCCAGGCAGTGGAAAGCGCCTTGGGCGGTTCCCCCAGTATCCGCCCCGCGGTTCCCCCAGTTGCGCCCCCTGGGTTCACCCAACTTAGCTTAGCTTAGCTTAGCTTATCTCATCTTAGCTTAGTTTAGCTCAGCTTTGCATAGCCTAGCTTAGTTTAGCTTAGCTTACATTTTAGCTTGGCTTAGCTTAGGTTAGCGTCGCCTAGCTTAGCTTTGCCTAGCCGAACTGAGCTTAGCTTAGCTTAGCTTATCTAGTCTTAGCTTAGCTTAGTTTAGCTTAGCTTGGTTTGTTCCCCACATCCAAAGTGGGGTTCTTGTTTTCTCTGGACACCCCGCGCAGGAACAGGAACACACACACACACACACACACACTCACACTCACTCACACTCTCTCATCATCAACCTCATCAGCATCATCGATGATGCTCTCTCACATGCTTAGTCACTCACATACTCATCATCATCATCACTCGCACTCTCTCACACGCTCACGAACATCATCATCATCATCATCGGCATCGGCATCATCCTCATTCAAACATCATCATCGCCACCACCACTCACAATCAATCATCATCCTCTTCACCACTCATCTTCACCACCACTCATCATCCTCATCCTCATCATCGTTGAGTAAATTGTGAGGAAGTCTCAGGCGGGAGCCCCCTCCCTATGGGGCCCGCAGATCATGTTGGTAATCCGAGCGGGTCATCGGAATCCTGTAACTGTCGTCACTTTTGAGCTCCCCAGGCCTGAAAATGGAGGAAGTCTCAGGCGGGAGCCTCGTCTGTGAGTGAATTGGAGGAAGTCTCAGGCGGGAGCTCCCTCCCTATGGGGCCCGCAGATCATGTTGGTAATCCGAGCGGGTCATCGGAATCCTGTAACTGTCGTCACTTTTGGGCTCCTCAAGCCTGAATTTGGAGGAAGTCTCAGGCGGGAGCCTCGTCTGTGAGTGAATTGTGAGGAAGTCTCAGGCGGGAGCCCCCTCCCTATGGGGCCCGCAGATCATGTTGGTAATCCGAGCGGGTCATCGGAACCCTTGTAACTGTCGTCAATTTTGGGCTCGTCAAGCCTGAATTTGGAGGAAGTCTCAGGCGGGAGCCTCGTCTCTGAGTGAATTGTGAGGAAGTCTCAGGCGGGACATCCTTCCTATGGGGCCCGCAGATCATGTTGGTAATCCGAGCGGGTCATCGGAACCTTGTAACTGTCGTCACTTTTGGGCTCCTCAAGCCTGAATATGGAGGAAGTCTCAGGCGGGAGCCTCGTCTGTGAGTGAACTGCGAGGAAGTCTCAGGCGGGAGCCCCCTCCCTATGGGGCCCGCAGATCATGTTGGCAATCCGAGCGGGTCAGGAATCTGGCTGCAGGTGCACGGCTTCAAGGAGTCTCCGATCTACCAGGAGGTCGCCGAGGTGCTGCGACAGGGCGCCGAAGGCGCCGACGACGACGGCCAGGCCGAGGCGCGGGCGCGGAGCTTGCTGATGTTCAGGCCCAGCGAAAGGGAGTTCACATGGCAGAGCTCGGGGGCGCACAGCGTGCGCCGCTCGGGGTTCACCCTGACGCACGCGTCCTACCTGACCTCCACGCTGTCGCAGGGCCAGACGCTGCGCAAGGGCGTCACCATCGACTGCGCGAGAGACGAGGACGCTGGCCGCACGGGCATGTCGGACGAGCAGTGGTGGCTGCACCTCTACGTCATGTTCTCCCGCGCCACGTGCATGCGGAACATGCTGATCCTGCGGCCGCCGCCGCGAGAGTTCCTGGAGTGCGGGCCGCCGGCGTCCCTGCGGAAGGCGCTCCTGGAGTTCGACAAGAGAGCGGTTTTGTCCAGGGCGGAGGCGAAGCAGCTCGCGGCAGAGCTGGGCTTCGCGCTGCCTTCCGCCTGAGCGCGGCTGCGCCTCGCTCGAAGCCCGCGGGGTTGTCCCAACGGCTTGGTCTTGCGCGCCAGCGGCTCGCGGGGTTGTCCCGACAGCCTGGCCCGCGGGGTTGTCCCAACGGCTGCGCGACGTGACCAGTAGAGAACGCGCCTGTGCTGTCCCCACATCCAAAGTGGGGTTCTTGTTTTCTCTGGACACCCCGCGCAGGAACAGGAACACACACACACACTCACACTCACTCACACTCTCTCATCATCAACCTCATCAGCATCATCGATGATGCTCTCTCACACGCTTAGTCACTCATCACATACTCATCATCATCATCACTCGCGCTCTCTCACACGCTCACGAACATCATCATCATCATCATCATCGGCATCGGTATCATCCTCATTCAAACATCATCATCGCCACCACCACTCACAATCAATCATCATCCTCTTCACCACTCACTTTCACCACCACTCATCATCTCATCCTCATCATCGTTGAGTAAATTGTGAGGACGTCTCAGGCGGGAGCCCCCTATGGGGCCCGCAGATCATGTTGGTAATCCGAGCGGGTCATCGGAATCCTGTAACTGTCGTCACTTTTGAGCTCCCCAGGCTTGAAAATGGAGGAAGTCTCAGGCGGGAGCCTCGTCTGTGAGTGAATTGGGAGGAAGTCTCAGGCGGGAGCTCCCTCCCTATGGGGCCCGCAGATCATGTTGGTAATCCGAGCGGGTCATCGGAACCCTGTAACTGTCGTCACTTTTGGGCTCCTCAAGCCTGAATTTGGAGGAAGTCTCAGGCGGGAGCCTCGTCTGTGAGTGAATTCTGAGGAAGGAAGGCTCAGGCGGGAGCCCCCTCCCTATGGGGCCCGCAGATCATGTTGGTAATCCGAGCGGGTCATCGGAACCCTGTAACTGTCGTCACTTTTGGGCTCGTCAAGCCTGAATTTGGAGGAAGTCTCAGGCGGGAGCCTCGTCTCTGAGTGAATTGTGAGGAAGTCTCAGGCGGGAGCTCCCTCCCTATGGGGCCCGCAGATCATGTTGGTAATCCGAGCGGGTCATCGGAACCCTGTAACTGTCGTCACTTTTGGGCTCCTCAAGCCTGAATATGGAGGAAGTCTCAGGCGGGAGCCTCGTTTGTGAGTGAACTGCGAGGAAGTCTCAGGCGGGAGCCCCCTCCCTATGGGGCCCGCAGATCATGTTGGTAATCCGAGCGGGTCAGGAATCTGGCTGCAGGTGCACGGCTTCAAGGAGTCTCCGATCTACCAGGAGGTCGCCGAGGTGCTGCGACAGGGCGCCGAAGGCGCCGACGACGACGGCCAGGCCGAGGCGCGGGCGCGGAACTTGCTGATGTTCAGGCCCAGCGAAAGGGAGTTCACATGGCAGAGCTCGGGGGCGCACAGCGTGCGCCGCTCGGGGTTCACCCTGACGCACGCGTCCTACCTGACCTCCACGCTGTCGCAGGGCCAGACGCTGCGCAAGGGCGTCACCATCGACTGCGCGAGAGACGAGGACGCTGGCCGCACGGGCATGTCGGACGAGCAGTGGTGGCTGCACCTCTACGTCATGTTCTCCCGCGCCACGTGCATGCGGAACATGCTGATCCTGCGGCCGCCGCCGCGAGAGTTCCTGGAGTGCGGGCCGCCGGCGTCCCTGCGGAAGGCGCTCCTGGAGTTCGACAAGAGAGCGGTTTTGTCCAGGGCGGAGGCGAAGCAGCTCGCGGCAGAGCTGGGTTTCGTGCTGCCTTCTGCCTGAGCGCGGCTGCGCCTCGCTCGAAGCCCGCGGGGTTGTCCCAACGGCTTGGTCTTGCGCGCCAGCGGCTCGCGGGGTTGCCCCGACAGCCTGGCCCGCGGGGTTGTCCCAACGGCTGCGCGACGTGACCAGTAGAGAACGCGCCTGTGCTGGCCGTGGCGGCGACGGCGCCGAGGAACATCGACATGCGCGCTCATGCAACAGGAAGGGGAGGAGGTGGCGGGGCGCGGAACAAACAGGGGGGCGAGGATGGGGACAACGTAAGGAGTGGAAGGGGGGGCCCGCGCCAAGGCGAGAGGAAATATACGCAGAAGAGACAGCCAGGACGCCTCACCAACCACGAGGACGACGGTGATGGCTTTTTCAAGATTCGCCCAGAGGATTCTCATGTGGGGTTCTTCCGTCGGAGTAATTTAGTTTTATACTAGCTTAACTTAGCTTAACTCAGCCTATGTCATCTTAGCTTAGCTTAGCATAGTTTACTTTAGCATTAGCACAGCATAGCATAGCATAGCCAATCATAGCATAGCATAACATAGCGTGGCATAGCTTACCATAGCACAGCGCAGTATAGCATTGCTTAGCATAGCAAAAGCAACACCAATGCGAACGTGTAGATGCAGATGTAGCTGTAGGTGTGGGTGTAGATGTGGATGTAGGTGTAGATGTAGATGTAGATGTATATGTAGGTGTAGATGTAGGTGTAGATGTAGATGAAGATGTGCGTCTCGCTGTTGATGTTGATGTAGATGTAGATGCAGGTGTAGATGTAAATGTAGCTGTCGGTGTAGATGTAGATGCTGCTTTCCTAAATGCTCCAACTCCTAGGTAGGGTCGCACTGGGATAATTTGGTTACCTACATATTATAACTATATGTATATATCGGAGTGGGCTGGGGGAGGGCCCAGAACCGCGACCACTGGTTCGCATGGCGGTCCAGAGGGGCCTTGAGGGCTCAAAAAGGGCCCAGAAGGGGCCACGGATCCCCCTTGAGGCCCCCAAGCTGGCCCAAGAGGCGATGGCTGAAGATCGCACTGAGATGGCCTCGAGACGGGCCCAGAGCGCTCGGAGATAGCCCCAGACTGCTCCCAGTCGGCCACAATAGCCCTCAAGACGGTCCAAAAGGCCGCCGAGAAGGCACCCCAAGGGCAAAAATCAGGCATTCCCAACGGAAAAAAGGCATATTTCTGGGACCGCTTTTTCACTCCTGACAGCGGCCGCGGCGGCCCCAAAGGCTCCCAAAATAAACCCCAGACGGCCCAAGAGGGCCCCAAGACGGCCTGCAGAGAGATCAAGCAGCACAAGAGAGCTCCAAGACTGCCCAAGAAAGTCCCCAAGGGCCCCCCCCGTAGCCATTTTAGCTCAAGTCGCTTCTGTCTCAATCAAGCCACCCGAGTCTGGAGGGACGCCAGCTCCGCGCTGCACCCTCGCCGCCCCGCGCCCCGACTTCCACGAGATCCCCCGCGCGCGCTCGCGATGCAGGCGTTGTCTGGGTACGCCGCCGCCCGGCAGTTCGCCGAGCCGCAGAGCAACGCCGCCGAGGTCGGGGGCGGAAAGAGGGGGGTGATGACTTGGGGGGGGGGAGATCATGGCGTGGGCCATGATATGTCCCCAGATTTCATGGCGCCTCTTCTTATTACCTAACAGCGAAGACTGATAGGTTTCTAGTGGTCTAAAAAGAGAGCAGCACATTACTCCACAGGGGGGTCTGGGCAGCCGTTGGGGAGCCGTTGGGGGGCCGTTGGGGGGCCGTTGGGGGGCCGTTGGGGATTGCCGGGGAACCTCGTTTTTCGCAAACAGTCACACACTTCGTGCTCTTCGACCTCCCAGAACTCCATTCTTCGACCTCCCAGAACTCCATTCCCGGGCCACATTCTGAATGCCCGGAGCCAACTGTAGGCCACTTCGTGGTCTTCGAGTTCCCAGAACTCCATTCCCGGGCCACATTTTGAATGCCCGGAGCCAACTGTAGGCCACTTCGTGCTCTTCGAGTTCCCAGAACTCCATTCCCGGGCCACATTTTGGATGCCCGGAGCCAACTGTAGGCCACTTCGTGGTCTTCGAGTTCCCAGAACTCCATTCCCGGGCCACATTTTGGATGCCCGGAGCCAACTGTAGGCCACTTCGTGCTCTTGGACTTCCCAGAACTCCATTCCTGGGTATGATTTTGAATGCCCGGAGCAAACTGTAGGCCACTTCGTGTTCTTCGAGTTCCCAGAATTCCATTCCCTGGCCACATTTTGAATGCTGAGGCAGGCTGATGCTGAGGCTGAGGCAGGCTGAGGCAGGCTGAGGCTGAGGCCGAGGCTGAAGGCAGGCTGAGGCTGAAGCAGCTGAGGCTGAGGCTGAGGCAGGCTGAGGCTGAGGCTGAGGCAGGCTGAGGCTGAGGCTGAGGCAGGGCTGAGGCTGAGGCAGGCTGAGGCTGAGGCTGAGGCTGAGGCTGAGGCAGGCTGAGGCTGAGGCTGAGGCAGGCTGAGGCTGAGGCAGGCTGAGCTGAGGCTGAGGCTGAGGCTGAGGCTGCAGGCTGAGGCTGAGGCAGGCTGAGGCTGAGGCCGAGGCTGAAGGCAGACTGAGGCTGAGGCTGAAGCAGGCTGAGGCTGAGGCTGAGGCAGGCTGAGGCTGAGGCTGAGGCTGAGGCAGGCTGAGGCTGAGGCAGGCTGAGGCTGAGGCTGATGCAGGCTGAGGCAGAGGCAGGCTGAGACTGAAGCCGAGGCTGAAGGCAGATTGAGGCTGAGGCTGAGGCAGAGGCAGGCTGAGGCTGCGGCTGAGGCAGGCTGATGCTGAGGCAGGCTGAGGCTGAGGCTGAGGCTGATGCAGGCCGAGGCTGAGGCAGCCTGAGGCTGAGGCCGAGGCTGAAGGCAGACTGAGGCTGAGGCTGAAGCAGGCTGAGGCTGAGGCTGAGGCAGGCTGAGGCTGAGGCTGAGGCAGGCTGATGCTGAGCCAGGCTGAGGCTGAGGCTGAGGCTGAAGCAGGCTGAGGCTGAGGCTGAGACTGAGGCCGAGGCCGAGGCCGAGGCTGAAGGCAGACTGATGCTGAGGCTGAAGCAGGCTGAGGCTGAGGCTGAGGCAGGCTGAGGCTGAGGCTGAGGCAGGCTGAGGCTGAGGCTGAGGCTGATGCAGGCTGAGGCTGAGGCAGGCTGAGGCCGAGGCCGAGGCTGAAGGCAGACTGAGGCTGAGGCTGAAGCAGGCTGAGGCTGAGGCTGAGGCAGGCTGAGGCTGAGGCTGAGGCAGGCTGATGCTGAGGCAGGCTGAGGCTGAGGCTGAGGCTGATGCAGGCTGAGGCTGAGGCAGGCTGAGGCTGAGGCAGACTGAGGCTGAGGCTGAAGCAGGCTGAGGCTGAGGCTGAGGCAGGCAGGCTGAGGCTGAGGCTGAGGCAGGCTGATGCTGAGGCAGGCTGAGGCTGAGGCTGAGGCTGATGCAGGCTGAGGCTGAGGCAGGCTGAGGCTGAGGCCGAGGCTGAAGGCAGACTGAGGCTGAGGCTGAAGCAGGCTGAGGCTGAGGCTGAGGCTGAGGCTGAGGCTGAGGCTGAGGCAGGCTGAGGCTGAGGCTGAGGCTGAGGCTGAGGCTGAGGCAGGCCGAGGCTGAGGCCGAGGCTGAAGGCAGACTGAGGCTGAGGCTGAAGCAGGCTGAGGCTGAGGCTAAGGCTGAGGCTGAGGCTGAGGCTGAGGCTGAGGCTGGCTGATGCTGAGGCAGGCTGAGGCTGAGGCTGAGGCTGAGGCAGGCTCAGGCTGAGGCAGGCTGAGGCTGAGGCCGAGGCTGCAGGCAGACTGAGGCTGATGCAGGAGCAGGCTGAGGCTGAGGCTGAGGCAGGCTGAAGCTGAGGCTGAGGCTGATGCTGAGGCAGGCTGAGGCTGAGGCTGAGGCTAATGCAGGCCACTGCGACTGTCATCGCGAATGCGACTACGACTGCGAGAACAGCAGAACTCTACAACTGGATTCTCATCTGAATCTTAAGGGGGATGCTTCCAGATATGCTCCTACACATCGCTGTTAGGTTGCTTTGCCGGGATAATTTTATTTAATCGCTTCGCTCATTCCGCCGGCCCATATTGTCGCACCGTTGTGGGCTAGCCGAGTTTTGGGGCCTCTTGGGGGCCGTTTTTGGGCCTCTTGGGGCCTCTTTTGGGCCTCTTGGGCGCCTCTTGGGGCGTCTTGGGGGCCTCTTGGGGGCCTCTTGGGGCCTTTTTGGGGCCTCCTGGGCGCCTTCTGGGGCGGAGGGCTCGATTTTTCAGTTCTCGGTTCCCCTCTTGAGCCCCTCTTGGGCCCGTCTTGGGGCCTCTTGGTCCGTCTTGGGCGGCACTTGGGCCGTCTTGGGGGCCCTCCTGGGCCGTTCCGGGGCCGTCTTGGGAGCCTCGTGGGCCGTCTTGGAGCGGTCTTGGGGGCCTCTTGGGCCGTCTTGGAGCGTCCGGAAGCCGAAAAAGCCAGAACGCAAAAAACATCGAAAAAAAAATGAAAATCAACGATTTTGGCCTCTTGGGGCCCTCTTCGGAGGCCTCTTGGAAGGCCCTTGGGGCGTCTTGGAGGCCTCTTGGGCTGTCTTGGGGCCCTGTTGGGCGTCTTCGGGCGATCTTTGGCCGTCTCGGGGCCCTCTTGGACCGTCTTGGAGGCTTCTTGGGGACCTCTTGGCCCGTCCTGGGGCCCTGTAACAGGGCTCCGGCATCTCTGGCCCGACCTTGCCGGGACCTTGCCGGGGACTTGCCGGGACCTTGCCGGGGACTTGCCGGGACCTTGCCGGGGTACTTTTCGTCTGGGGACCCCCAGGGGCCGCCCCGCGCGCGCGAACTAGGAATACTGTTAACCAGGTACCGGAGATCTTAGCACGCCCTGGCCCGTTGGGCCGGCGAATTACGTCCCTGCCCCCCCCCCCTGGGCCGCGCACATGCCGCCCGCCATGATTTGCACCCCCCCCTCTTGGACGCCCCCCTCTTGGCCGCTCCCGACGAGGAGCTGCTCGGCGCTGCACCTTCGCCGCCGCGGCCCCGGCGCGCCGCGGCGGCCCTCTTCGCCGCCGCGCTGCTCGTGGGGGCCGTCTGCTCCGTGGCGGCCGGCCTCCTCCTCCTCCTCCTCCTCCTCCTCCTCCTCCTCTCCTCCTCCTCCTCCTCCTCCTCCTCCTCCCCCTCCTCCTCCTCCCCCCTCCTCCTCCTCCTTTTCCTCCTCCTCCTCCTCCTCCTCCTTCTCCTCCTCCTCCTCCTCCTCCTCCTCCTCCTCCTCCTCCTCCTCCTCCTCCTCCTCCTCCTCCTCCTCCGCGGGGGAGGGGACCGGCGGCTGGTGAGAGCAGCTGCGCCGCGCGGGAAGAGCGCCAGTGTGCTCGACGTTGTGAGCAAGGCGGCGGCGGCGGGCGCGGAGAACGAGACGGCGGAGAATGAGACGGTCCTCGCCAGGGCTGTAGTGCTGCTGCCTCGTCTGTCGGTTTCGAGTCTCGGGTGGGCCGCCGTGCCTCTCGGTGGCGGCCCGTGCCCACCGTGATCACGGTGAATGAGACCGAGGCGGTCGAGCCGCCGTGTTATGTCCAGCCAGCCGGCAGCGGGTTCTCCGTGGAGGATGCCACGAAGTGCGCCGAGGATCTCAGGGAGGTGATGGGGGACGCGAACGGGACGGCGGCGACGGGAATCGGCAGCTACAACGACACGGACCACGAGATCACCGTCCGCTTCAACGTGAAAACGACGGCTGACATCGACTCCGCACAGGTGGGCCCGCAGCTCCAGGCCCTACAGAACGCCGCCAGGGTGGTCTTGGGCGCCGCGATCCCCCGCGCGCTCCCTCACGAGAACTCTCGCTCGTGCCTGTACACCTTCCTAGAAACAGACAAGCTCCACGTGAACTGCGAGTTCACGGTCTGCAGCGCAGACGACTCCAAGGCGGTGTGGGAGGCGTGCATGTCCGCCTCAGACTCGGAGGGGAGCATCGCCGGCGAGCTGGGCTTCCTCGAGGGCCCCACGGTCACGGACGTCATGTGCGCGAAGAACGCGTTCACTTGGTGAGCCGCGGCGACGTGCACATTGTTAGAGGATCAGGCATGGGTCCGCAGGGGGTGTGGGAGGGGCTGGAGGGGAGGAGGGTTGCCAGAGCTGCTCCGTGCAGCCGGCTGCAGCCCTGGTGCCCAGCACGTGCCTCGAGGCACGCGCGCGCCCGCCTCCCTGAAGCGTCTGCGAGACTGGCTGCAAGCAGCTGAACAGTACCCCCCTCTTTTGATGCCCCTCCTTTTTTCGCCCCCCTCGACTATTCGGGAGGGTGGGAGGGGAAGCTTGCCTGGGCGCCCGCGCCACGATTATTGGCCATTGTGGCGCGTTGGCCCGCGCCAAAGGAGCGCGGCGGCGCACGGGGGAGTGGCAGGCTAGGGGTGGAGGTGATGGTGATGATGGTGAGGCGGAGGAGCATAGATCGATGTTTCTCGGTGCCTCTGCTGCCTCTGACTGGGCGCCCGCGCCGCGATGATTGGCCAGCGCGGCGCGCTGGCCCGCGCCAGGGGAACGCTGCGGTGCACAGTGGGGGGGGTGCAAGCCAGGAGAGCGGCGGCGGAGGAGGATCGATCGATGCCTTTTATTGCAGTGCTGCTTTGCCTGGGCGCCCGCGTCACGATGATTACTTGCCATCGCGGCGCGCCGGCCCGCGCCTGGAAAGCGGTGGTGGAGGATAGGTGGTGCGGGAGGAGGAGGACGAGGAGGAGGAGGAGGAGGAGGAGGGCTTGCATAGATCGAATATTTTGAACGCGGGTCGCCGCCTGTTGTTCTGCCATGAAGACGAGGGGCGGAGGACGTGATACGCACCTCCAAAGGGCGTGCCCAGGTGACTGGCTTGTGCTATCAACGCAGCGCGGCGGCACAATGGGCTCCCATCGGAAGGGCGGCCCCCCTCTGGCGGCGGAGGGGTGGCGGGGCGGGGTTCCGCAGGTGGAGGTTGGTGGTACCGGAGGAGGAGGAGGAGGGTTTGCATAGATCGAATATTTTGAACGCGGGTCGCCGCTTATTATTCTGCCATGAAGATAAGGGGCGGAGGACGTGATACGCACCTCCAAAGGGCGTGCCCAGGTGACTGGCTTGTGCTATCAACGCAGCGCGGCGGCACACTGGGCTCCCATCGGAAGGGCGGCCCCCCTCTGGCGGCGGAGGGGCGGCGGGGAGGGGATTGGTGGTGCGGGAGGAGGAGAAGGAGGACTTGCATAGATCGAATCCTTTGAACGCGGTTCGCCGCTGCTTGTTCTGCCATGCAGATATGGGGCGGAGGACATGAGACGCACCTCCAAAGGGCGTGCCCATGTGATCGGCTTGTGCTATCAATCTTTAAAAATGCAGCACTGACGATTCATAGTGGCCGTCTCGCCTCTGTGGCGGCGACTGCGGTCAGGGAGCAGCGGGAAAAGAAAAGAAAAAAACAAAAAAAAAAAAAAAAAAAAAAAAACGTAAATACAAAAAAAGAGAGTCCCCAAGGGCCCCGAGGGGGCCACCAGAGGATCCCTACATGGTCGGAGAGGGGCCCAAGAGGGCCCCAAGACGGGCCCAGCTCCACATGACGGGCGAAGAGGGACCCGGCGGGACAGCCGAAATTGGCCCCCAGACGGGCCAAAAAAGGCCCAAAAGGATTCCTCAAGACGGTCCAAGAGGCCGCCGAGGAGCGCCCCCAAGGGCAACAAAAACAATTTCGTTTGGAAAAAATTAAATGTTTGGTCTTACTCCTAACGGCGGCCACGTCGGCCCCAACGGCTCCCCAAATCGGCCCCAGACGGCCCAAGAGGCCCCCAAGAGTGCCCCCAGACAGCCTGAAGAGAGCTTCGAGTGGCGCAAGAGAGCTCCAAAGCGTCCCAAGAGAACCCCCAGGGGGCACGAGGGGGCCACCAGAGGATCCCTACCAAGACAGGCTCAGCCCCCATGGCGTGCCAAGAGGGACCCCAGACGGCCGAAATGGGCCCCCAGACGGGCCAAAAAAAGACCCAAAAGGACTCCTTCAAGACGGCCCAAGAGGTCGCCATTTCCGATGGGAAAGTGCAAATTGCCTGGATGTTCGCTCTTTCTGTCCTAACAGCGGCCGCGTCGGCCTCAAAGGTTCCCAAACTCAGCCCCCCACCGCCCAAAGGGCCCCAAGACGGCCTCAAGAGAGCTTCAGGCAGCACAAGAGAGTTCCAAGACGGCCCAAGGGAGTCCCCAGGGAACCCCAGGGGGCCACCAGAGGGTCCCAAGAGGGCCGCCGCCTCGACCCCCCCAATCGCCCATTCCTCGCCAACAGGTGTCCGATAGCCCGCCCCGCCCGATAGTCCGCCTCCTCCTCCTCCTCCTCCTCCTCCTCCTCCTCCTCCTCCTCCTGCTCCTCCTCCTCCTGCTCCTGCTCCTGCTCCTGCTCCTCCTCCTGCTCCTGCTCCTGCTCCTCCTCCTCCTCCTCCTCCTCCTCCTCCTCATGCGCCTGCTCCTCCATTCCTTCTCCATACAAATAATTGTTCCCTGCCGCACCTCGAGGCCGGTTTTCATGGCGGGCCGGGCGTTTCGCCTGAGACTTCCTACCACTCATGACCTTGAAATTTAAGAATGACAACAGCTTCACAGATGGAGGGCGGGCCGCTTTCAAAATGTTGCTCTCGCCTTAGCGCCGCGCACATTCGTTTTAAAAATGTGTGAGAGCTTTACGAATTGAGGACGGGTGGTTTTCAACATGTGGTTATCGCTTTAGCGCCGCGCTCAGTTTGAAATTTTCTGCAACAGTTTCACGGATTGAGGGCGGGTGATTTGCAAAATGTCGTTCTCATCTTAGCGCCGCGCACATTCGTTTTTAAATTTGCAAGAGCTTCACATATTGAGGGCGGGTCGTTTTCAAAATGTGGTTCTCGCTTTAGCGCTGCGCACATTCGTTTTAAAACTTGCAAGAGCTTCGCGCATTGAGGGCGGGTCCTTTTCAAAAAGTGGCTCCCGCCTTAGCGCCGCGCACATTCGTTCTTCAACTTTATAAGGGTTTCACGGATTCCCATGATCAGCGTACCAGAAAAGGTGTTTGGGAAGGATTCAGGATCAGAAGGGTGCAACAGTCACGTTCGTTCGCGGTGCTAAAGTCCCAGGAATGGCGTTCTGGCACGATTCAGGATGGTCAAGACGCAACAGTCAGGCTGATATGTGGCGTTGGAATCCCGAGAACAATGTTTTGGCATGTTTCCGGGTCTTCAAAAGGTTGCCTTCAACGAGGTAGTTTTTTTTTCAATGGAAATACAGCGTTGTAGGGGCTTGCGAAGAGGTAGCTTGGAATGAGGGTTTATTCGAACATCGTTGATGACTCTTGGGTTTGCATTGGTCCTCCTCCTCCTCATCCTCCTCCAGCTCCTCCTTCGCCCGCCCAGGGGTGTGTGGATTCGCCGTCGGGAGCCTTTCGCCCATTTATCGGCGATGAAAGTGACCGACTCCAGATCGATGTTACCCCCCCTTCTGATCCAGTTCCCCCCCTGACGTTGCCCCTCAAAAGAGGTCCAGGGTTCTGGAAGTTGCTCTTCCCTTTTCGGGAGGTTCACGGGCGTCTGGAAGGGGAGGAGGTGGAGGAGGAAAAGGAGGAGGAGGAGGAAAAGGAGGAGGAGGAGGAGGAGGAAGAGGAGGAGGGGGAGGGGGAGGAGGGGGAGGAGGAGGAGGGAGGAGGAGGAGGAGGAGGCGGAGGAGGAGGATGAGGGAGGAGGAGGAGGAGGAGGAGGGAGGAGGAGGAAGGAGGAGAGGAGGAGGAGGAGGAGGAGGAGGAGGAGGAGGAGGGGGGAGGGGGAGGAGGAGGAGGAGGAGAGGAGGAGGAGGGGAGGAGGAGGTGGTGGAAGAGGTCCTTCTTTTTACCCCCTTTCTACAATAACAGATGAAGCCGGCGACCATCTGAGTCGCCAAGCACAGAAATTTGATCAACCCCCAGCCTTGGGGGGGGCGGGGATGACCGCGCTCGGGAACCTCAGATGCCGAGAGGGCGAGAGAAACAGAGAGAGAGAGAAAGAGTAGGAGGTGGAGGAAGAGAGGGAGGGAGGAGGAGAGGGAGGAGGAGAGGAGAGAGGGAAGAGGAGGAGGAGGGGGAGGAGGAGAGAGAGAAGGAGGAGAGAGAGAGAAGGAGGAGGAGGAGGAGGAGGAGGAGGAGGAGAGGGCGGAGGGACGTTGCCCTTCGTGCATGCAGCCGCCCCCCGCGCGCGCGCGCGCCGCCCCGAACCCGCAGTCGAAGAGCAGCGCGCCTCGCCGCCCGCCGAGCGGCAGAGCGCGGCGGCCCCCTCGAAGGCGCGCCGCGGCTCTGCGTGGCGGCGGGGTTGTTGGCGCCGATGACAACTGTGATGATGGTGATGATGCTGCTGCTGATGGTGGTGATGCTGCTGGTGCTGGTGATGGTGGTGGTGGTGGTGATGGTGCTGCTGGTGATCGTGATGATGGTGAAGATGATAATGATGGTGCTGATGATGATAGTGGTGATGGTGATGGTCATGATGATGGTGGTGCTGATGGTGATTATGATGGTGAGGGCGATGATGATGGCGATGGTGCTGATGATGGTGATGCGGCGGGTGGTGACGGTAATGGTGATCATGATCATGAGCATGATAATCATCATGATGAGTATGATGGCGATGATGATGGTGAGGATGATGGCGATGATATTGATTATGGTGGTGATGGTGATGATGTTGCTGCTGATGGTGATGGTGGTGATGATGGTGATGGTGGTGGTGATGATGATGGCGATGATGCTGATGATGGTGATGCGGCTGGTGGTGATGGTGATGATGATTGTGGTGGTGATGATGGTGGTGATGGTGATCATGGTGATGATGCTGATGATGGTGGTGATGATGATGGTGATGATGTTGATGATGGTGATGCGGCTGGTGACGATGGTGATGATGTTACTGGTGGTAGTAACCCTGTTTATGATAGTGATGATAATGGTGAGGGTGGTGATGATGATGATGATGATGCTGGCGGTGGTGGTGGTGATGGTGATATTGATGATGATGGTAATGATTTAGGTGGTGGTGATGGTGGTGGTAATGTTGGTGATGATGATGATGATGACGATGATGATGGCGATGATCTTGATGATGGGAGTGATGATGGGTGTTATGATGATGACGGTGATGCTGATGATGATGCTGATATCCATCATCATCAACAGCATCACCATGGTAGTTATGATGGTGTTGGTGATGATAATGCTGATGGTGACGATGATGTTGATGCTGATGCTGATGCTGATGATGATGATGATGATGATGATGATGATGATGATGATGATGGTGAGGTGATTGTGTTATCTTCGCAAAGTGGACAGCTCGGGGAGCAGGAGGAGGAGGAGGAGGAAGAGGACCAGTGTAAACCCAAGACTCATCAAGAATGCGGGAATAAACCATCCTTCCAAGCTCCCTCGTCATAGGCCCCTACAAAGATACACTTCCACTGAGGGAAGTGCCCCGTAGGGAGAACCGTTTGAAGATCCTGAAGCGTGCCAGAACACCATTCTCGGGACTCCAACGCCACGAATCAACCTCACTCTTGCGGCGTGACGATCCTGAATCGTGCCAGATGTTCGAGCTTGTTCGAATCTCGAGGATGCGGGCAGTAGGCGATGGCGTTTGCACTGCAGCCTTTCTCTCTTCAAGGGCTGGTCACACCCGACTAAATCCCGGGCCCAGCCTGTCTCGCACCTTAGCGGCGGCAGAGTCGGTGTTCGACGGAGGCACGACGGCAGCACGCACCAGAACAATGACCATCATCGTTTGGGTTTTGTAGATTTGCTAGCCGCCAGTTCGAGCTCTAACTCAAATTTTCTTGGGGGCGTACCAGATACACACATGGATGGTCCATTTGGGGATGGCTAGCATGATAAATCTAGACTGCCGTGCGTGATGCCGTCTTGTGGGTCATGCCGCAGTCGGGCACCCTGGCCCCAGGACTCGGGCGAAGGCCGACCCAGGCGAAGGCCAACCCCGGCGAAGGCCAACCTGGGCGAAGGCCAACCGGGGAGAAGGCCAACCCGGGCGAAGGCCAACCGGGGCGAAGACCCACCCGGGCGAAACAGACATCTACGACTCCACGCCATGTGGGCACCCCGGCCCCAGGGGACTGGAGGAGGCCGCGGTGGAGCTGGAGGCGGGGTGGCGCTGGGGGCGTTCGGCCCGCCCTGGGCCCCGTCTCGACCAACAAACATCAGGAGGGGAAGAAAACACACAGACACAATGAATCGTCGATTCCCCCAGAAAATATGGGAAAATATGGGAATTGGGCGGGAAGACAAAACCCAGAAAATATACGAAAACATGGGAAATCTTTTTCTTTGTGTGTATTTATTTATGTGTCCCAGGGCCCCTTCAAAACAAACGACACCACCCCACCTGCGGCCCTCCACGTTGCGCTGCGGCCCATCGGTCGACTCGAGGCATCACCGAGCGCGTTCCACTGCTCGCAAAAAGTGCCCACTCGCAGACGTCCGAGAAGCACACGCTCGCCTCGATGGGGTTTGTCGTAAATCCTCCGCGGCTGATCCAGGCCATTCGCGAGTGGTGACTCTGCGAGTAGTGGAGCGCGCTTGTCCAAAGCAGCCCACCGCGCGATCCCGGCAGACGCCGGCTCCAAGAGGCAGGAGACGGTCCGAGCCTTGCGCAGACTTCGACGTGCGGCCAGGGCGATGTCCACCGGCACGCAGGCTCTTGTGAAAGTCCAGGCCCGTTCGAGACCGGCAGCATCCAGCATGCCGCTATCCAGCCGCACGGCCACGGGGGAGATCCGCGACCGGGGAGACGTTCAGGCTGAGGCGGAAGGGTTGGGTACAGATGGTTTCACGGATACCGCCAACGGTGAGCACCAGCAGCAGGAGCGTCAACAACGTTTGCTTGCACACGGCCAGAGCGAGCTTTTCGACGGGGGGCAGAGCCATCTCAGCAGGTTCACGCAGGTTTGATGTGCGATAGGTTGTTGGTGGTGATGGGATGCCCCTGGAAGTATACCAACACATGCCTTGCTTCTCATGCACATTATCTTGGACACGTTTCCAGCACCAGCAGCGCACCTACGACCACGAGTGTCCGCAAAACTGGAAGTTGACCAACGGTGAGCACCAGCAGCAGGAACAGCTGCAACATTGGCTTGCACACAGCCAGAATGAGCTCCTCGACGGGAGGCAGAGCCATCTCAGCTTGTTCCGAGCGCTGCAGGCTCGCGCAGGCTTGACGTGCGATAGGGTAACTGTTAACTCAGGCCTGTCCCTCTACAGGAGGAATATTCAAAAATAGTCCAGAAATAGTTTGGGGACGATTTTTCGATCAGCTTCGACTATGTTTGGAGCATGTTTCAAATATTTTCGGGTGTTATTCCAAAATCCGCCTGTAGGAGGACATGCCCGACCTAAGGCTACTGGGGGTGATGGGGTGCCCCCGGAAGTATACCGACAAACGCTTTTCTGCTCATGCTTATTATGTTGGAAATGTTTCCAGCACTAACAGCGCACCTACAACCTCGAGCGTCCGCACGATGGGAAAGTGATCGACTTTCTCGGCATTCCGAAGCCCGACGCTGGTGACAAGTTCACACTCGAGGAGAGGATGCACTTCGGTCGCGAAGCAGCGCGTGAGCCAGAAATGGTATGAACATAGTTTGCGGGAGCAGTTGCGATCTTCCCTCTAGCACGTTGGCGCGGCGACTTGCGGATTCAAGCCGCACTGGCGGACCACGCCAGCTGTTTCACATTGCAGCGACGTTCCAGGGTGAATCCGCGTTGCTGGCATCCGCTGACATCAAAACAGCATTCGGCACCATCCTGCATGGAGTTCTTCGGCGGCGAGCGCGGGGGGGAAGGGAGAAGGGGCGGGACTCCTCAGAAGGCTCGGAGCCCCCCCGGCCTTCTGAGAAGTTTTCTAAGCCTTCCCCGAAGACGCAGACAGCTTTTCAGAAGGCGCGAGGGCTTCTGAGAAGTGCCGCCGCCTTCTGGGAAGGCTTGACGTGCGATAGGGCTGTTGCGGGTGATGGGATGCCCCTGGAAGTATACCGACACATGCCTTGCTTTTCAGGTTCATTATTTTGGACACGTTTGCAGCACCAGCAGCGCACCTACGACCACGAGTGTCCCCAAGATTGGAAGTTGACCAACGGTGAGCACCAGCAGCAGGAACAGCTGCAACATTGGCTTGCACACAGCCAGAACGAGCTCCTCGACGGGAGGCAGAGCCATCTCAGTTTATTCCGAGCGCTGCAGGCTCGCGCAGGCTTGACGTGCGATAGGGTAACTGTTCACTCGGGCCTGTCCCTCTACAGGAGGAAAATTCAAAAATAGTCCAGAAATAGTTTGGGGACGATTTTTCGATCAGCTTCGACTATGTTTGGAGCATGTTTCAAATATTTTCGGGTGTTATTCCAAAATCCGCCTGTAGGAGGACATGCCCGACCTAAGGCTACTGGGGGTGATGGGGTGCCCCCGGAAGTATACCGACAAACGCTTTTCTGTTCATGCTTATTATGTTGGAAATGTTTCCAGCACTAACAGCGCACCTACAACCTCGAGCGTCCGCACGATGGGAAAGTGATCGACTTTCTCGGCATTCCGAAGCCCGACGCTGGTGACAAGTTCACACTCGAGGAGAGGATGCACTTCGGTCGCGAAGCAGCGCGTGAGCCAGAAATGGTATGAACATAGTTTGCGGGAGCAGTTGCGATCTTCCCTCTAGCACGTTGGCGCGGCGACTTGCGGATTCAAGCCGCACTGGCGGACCACGCCAGCTGTTTCACATTGCAGCGACGTTCCAGGGTGAATCCGCGTTGCTGGCATCCGCTGACATCAAAACAGCATTCGGCACCATCCTGCATGGAGTTCTTCGGCGGCGAGCGCGGGGGGGAAGGGAGAAGGGGCGGGACTCCTCAGAAGGCTCGGAAACCCCCCGGCCTTCTGAGAAGTTGTCTAAGCCTTCCCCGAAGACGCAGACAGCTTTTCAGAAGGCGCGAGGGCTTCTGAGAAGTGCCGCCGCCTTCTGGGAAGGCCTTTTCCCTCTCGTTCACCCCCCTCGCTCGCCGCCGATGGGAGCCTTTAGGGGGCCTTCTTGGGCTATATTGGGCCCTCTTGAGCTATCCGAGGCTCCCCTGGAGTCGTTTTGTTAGCTCTCTCCGGAGCTGCCCAGGGCCGTCTGGGAAGTTTCTAGAGGTCCTCTTTGGAGCCATACTCATTACCCCCCTTCGCTCGCCGCCCAGTTCTAAAGGCAGCACCGCGATGGAGAGGGGTGCAGCCCGCGCTCGTTCACAGCATCATCCGGGAGCGGGGCGGACTCGGAGCGAAGATGCACGCGGCAGGTTTTGCGAGGCGACGAGCACCTTCCCCTTGCCATCAGTTTGGCATCGCTCGGACGTGCGCAGTTTTTTCTCGGCGGGGGTGATTAAGGAGCATATTGGATCATCCTGCGAAAAAAATTACGCACTAAACCGAAAAAAAAAAACGGGGAATGGACGTCCGAGCGATGGCCAGATCATGGGCGACAAGCAGGGATGCACGAACACCCCAGACCTTTTCGACGCACTGGTGGAGTATTCAGTCGGGCCTGTCCCCCTGCAGGAGCAGTGCGCAAAGATTGTCAAATAATAGTACGGGGACGATGTTTCTGCTACTGTTCACTATGTCAAAGCATTTTTAAATAACTTTCGATTTTTCCTTTAAGATCCGCGCGTAGGAGAACACGCCCGACCTAAGTGGAGTATATATTATTTGACACTGTCGCCTCATGGTCTGAAGGGGGGTCGATTACCTGTTGATGGGGCTCCGGTTTCGCATTTAGTTTTGCGCGACAACCTTTTTGATTTCTTGCGGGCTCCCGCTCGCAGTTGGCCTCCATGATATTGGAAGTCACCCACGCCGCGATGGCAGTCGGTTTCTCTTGGGAAGAGTCTTCATTGCAGGTGATGGCAGGCGGCGACGCTGTGCAGAGCGACGCCGACGGTATTCATTGTGCGGGGCTTGCGGGGGCGACGCCGTTCACGGCAGTCAGCGAGATGGTAATCCACGGCGAGATGATCGACCACAGAGGGATTACGGTAACGAGCATAGATTACCATCTTAGCAAGGCCGAGAGCAATTTCTGGGCGAACTCGCGCGCTCTATGCGCGCCGGCCGGCACACAGGCTAAAGCTGGACGCGCGGCGGAGAGGCCCGGGGGCTTCGGCTATCCATCCCCCAGAAGCTCTGGACGTAGGAACTCCGATGGCTGCGGAAAGTCCTCCGTGTACGCAGGCGCCCCGACGAGCGGCTCGCGAACTATATGCAACGCACTTCATGGCCAAATGTGGCCACGTGCCCATCCACGCTGTTATGTTTCGATGTTTTTGTTACGCAGTCTTCCGCTGGCAGGATTCGAAAACGGACGACGGGACTCCCCTCTTCCAATGGGCGCGCGCCTTCCTGATCAGGGACCCTTGGGCGGTCATCAAAGAGGGCGACCCAAAACGGACACGCGCCGACGGTTCATTGCAAGGATCAGGCGGTCGCGGGGCGACTTAGGAGGATCCTACCGTTCATCACATGAGACAACATTGGCGTGCGCAGCGGAAGAGTATGCTGAGATCATGTTGGCGTGAGCTGGCGACGTCGTTTGTTACCCGTACCTGCGAGAGATGGCGCCTGACATGTGATTCCTCACCATCCTTTTCCGTCGCAGGTTGCCAGAGGCGGGGGACAATCCGGAAATGGGAAGTGGCGGCTGCGATTTCGAGGCCCAGAACCCAAATGCCGACGAGTTTTTGGACACAGTGGCGCACGAGATCACATGGTCATCGCCTGGCTGACATTTCGTGTACGTGACAGACCCCAAGCTGCTTCAACAGTTGCTTTGCGATCATGCTCGCCTCCAGGATTGACATTTCGAGCCGCTGCTACCCTAGGTGCTTGGACGTATCGTGCACCACATGGGTTCGGGATGGGCCCCGCCGCAGGTGTTTGACGACCCGGTGCAATGGTGGCCGCGAGAGTACAATAAGGTTGCCGACGGCCTCGCAGACTTGACGATGAGCATCTGGAGATCTTGGTTGCGGCGGTTCCCCACGAGCATGCCGCTCGAAAGCGCAAACGTGGCGGTTCAGACCGACGGCGGCTTTCGAGACGAAAACTGCGCAGCATCCGCGTGGGTCATTGGCCACTGGGGCGTTCAAGCAGGATCATCGACGTATGAGCCACTCGTGGCGGCAGGCACGTTCATAGACACGCCGTGTTCAGTTTCCGGAGCGGAGGCCATTGCCCTAGATGAGGCTGCGCGGGAAGTCCATGCCCTCTTTAATTTTTTGCAACTGCACTAACAGCTGAAACTTGTGTTTCTTGAACTGCGGAACAGAACAGAACAGGGGCCTCTTGCCCAACCCGCCACAGTCCCTGGCCCACAGGTGCACCACAGCAGAACCAACGGAGGTCACAACGGGCCACAGGCGGCCATATGAGTCCACGCGAGCCCTCACGAGGCCAGGCGCCCACGGCCGATTCCAGCATACACATCGTGGACCGAAGGCGTTTTGATTGTCCTGTGTTCCTTTTTCCCACAGGGTAAATCCAGATTTGGCGAAGGCGCCGCGCCAAAATGCCGCGGAAGCGGAATGTGACTTAGACCGCAGTTTGTGTGGCGCAGGCGCAGCGCGTTTTGCATCCGAGGGCGAAAGTAGACAATTTGCATCACCCGTTGGACGAAATCTGCGCTGCATGTTTCTAGTTTGCTGGAGTTTGGCCAAATATCCTTTTGCAAAAGAGTTCTTCCTCGCCGCATCCGTTGATTCGGCAGGGGCGCCGGCAAACAGTGCTCCACAACAACAAAAAACAGAATCCAAGAACGTGGGGTTACAGTCCACCCGCATAGTAAGCATGGGCAACGTTCCAAGGCTACTCTTGCATCCTTGCCCCTTCGGCCAATCCTTGGCGACTTTCGCTGATCTACCTCTTCCGAACAAAAAACTTTGACATGGCCCTTCAAGGCCCTTGCATCCTGACCGCACATCCTTATAACACGGGTTGGCTGCAGGTGTCTCTTCTCCGCCGCTCTGACGGCGGGACAGCAGCCCCGTAGGGCCCCGCGCCCACGGGCCCACGGGCGTTCTGTGCGTGTGCCGCACGCCCCTTGGGACCCAGCGCGGGGTTTCGAAGACGGGGTGGAGGGGGGTGCCGCTCTGCAGGGGGCGAGAGCGGCGATCTTCCAGGGGGGGGAGGGGGGAGGGAGGGGGGCTGCAGCAGGGGCGGCCTCGCGGGCGACGTCGCAAAACGAGGCCGCGTGCCCGGACGTCGGCGCGAGCGTGGCCCGCGAAGGCCGCGAGCGAGGCCCATCCGATCCCATCGGCGCGCCGCGCGGGCGGCCCAAGGCGGGAGCCGCCGCGCGAGGCCGGCATGCCATCGTGCGCCAGGGGTCGACCTGAATTCGGGGGCGGAAAAGAGGGGGGTGAGGACCAGGGGGGGGGTGGATATCATGGCGGGGGCCATGGTATCTCCCCAGATTTTTCATGGCGCCTCTTCTTGTTTCATTATGTCCCTGGCCCCCCCGCTGGGCCGCGCACACGCCGCCGGTCATGATCTGCACACCCCCCTCTTGGACACCCCCTTCTTGGCCGCTCCCGATAAACGGGGTCTGGGCGATTTCGTGGGCCGTTTTCGTTTCGATCTCGCTTTGCAGCAACGGCGATTTGAGGACGAAACGAGGGAAGACAAAAACAAAACGGAAGCGAAAAGCGAAAACATAACGACAACGAAAAACACTGTCTAGGTCGATCCCTGCCGCGCGCAAGACCCACTCTTACGTCGCTCAAGTGTCGAGGCCCCCGCTGCCTCGATTTTCTTGTGCAGCGTTTTTGATCCGAGGTATGTTTTTGGCATCGCTCGGACGAGTGCGTTTTTCTCTACGGGGACCATCAAGAGCGTCTTAGATCATCTGGCGAAGAATACGCACGAAACCGAAAAATGCACGAAGAATGAACGTCCGAACGATGGCCAGTGCCGCGATTTTCAGTTGCAGCGCTTTTGATCCAAGGTATTTTTGCTGACGGCTCTGGGGACCTGGCAATATGTCCCCCAGGAGGCCGAGGATTCCAGAAGACCGCTTGTCCCCCACACATCCGACGAGATCTGAACTTTCAGTCCGCGCCCGCAGGCTTCCCGACCCCTTCCTGGGGCCCGCTCTTCATTCCGGAATATTTGTTCATTGTCCCAAGGCCCGAAGAGTCCCCGATGGGTCGATACTCAGGAAAATTTCGGGATCGCCAACGTCAATCCGCAGTATGTCTGGAGCCGCGGTTTGTTACACGATGCGGGTCTGGGGGAGAACGTGGAATTGGTTTTTTCCGAGGACGGTTGCCACGGACGGGGACATGGCTTGTTGGGTTTGTAAGACTTGGCGATTTTAGCAGTTCGACTATGAATTCAATGTTATGTGGTGCATGATTCACTACGTATTGTAATTGGCCACATGGCACGTACAGCTTTCCAGCGCCTATATCCAAGCTCATCTGAATGGGGCCGTGGTTTCCTTCGCGGTGCGAGGGGGGGTCAGCGAAGCGTTGATTCGGGCCGATGGTCAGAGAGCGCCTTCCTCTGCAGGACCACCAACCAAGGGGCGTCAAGGTGGTCAAAAGCCTCACCAGTTGAGCCGACAAAGATGCGCAACATCCAGCCATTCGCTAGCGTCCAGAGAATTAACCTGACGCTGGGTGTGGTGTATCAAGTTCAGCTTGACCGAACAGGTTGGTCGCGCCCCTTGACGTCCGTTTGGGGTGTTCTGCGGACCTGACCCTCCAGCCCTACGGCAGGTTCGCTTCGTGCCGACCGGCGGCGATCCCAGCGCGCGCGTTTAAGGTTGAACGCCGCCCGTGGCCCAGAATCGGCCCGTCGTTGAACGACCCGGCGTTCACGGATCGGCCGATCGTTCAAGTTTGAGCGATCCCCGCAGTTTCAGGAACCAATGCCGGGGTCGACACAACGCGATCTTGCCTTACTCAAGCGAATCGCGTGGATGGTTTTTCTCCCCGAGGACGAGTCCTTGGAGGCGATCCGCAATGAGGCGCTCGCCGCGCTGGCGCGGGGCGCCGAGGTGCCCGGCCGCACGCGGCTGCTTGCCCTTCGCATGCCTCCTCGGCTGTTTTCGGCATGGCTTCAGAGTGCTCCTCCTCCCCCTCCTCCTCCCCCTCCCCTCCCTCCTACTCCTCCTCCTCCTCCTCCTCCTCCTCCTCCTCCTCCTCCTCCTCCTCCTCCTCCTCCTCCTCCTCTCCTCCTCCTCCTCTTCCTCCCCCTCCCCTCCCCTTCCTCCTCATCCTCCTCCTCTTCCTCCTCCTCCTCCTCCTCATCCTTTTCCTCCTCCTCCTCCTCCTCCTCCTCCTCCTCCTCCTCCTCCTCCTCCTCCTCCTCCTCCTCCTCCCCCTTCTCCCCCTCCTCCCCTTCTCCTCTCCTCCTCCTCCTCCTCCTCCTCCTCCTCCTCCTCCTCCTCCTCCTCCTCCTCCTCCTCCTCCTCCTCCTCCTCCTCCTCCTCCTCCTCCTCCTCCTCCATTCTTTTTCCTTATAAATTATTTCTCCCTGTCGCACCCCGAGGCCAGTTTTTAGGGCGGGCCGCGCCTCACACTTCCTCACCATGTATGAAAGCTTAAAAAGTGACAACAGCTTCACAGATGGAGGGTGGATCGTTTTCAATATGTGGCTCTAGCCTTAGCGTCGCGCACATTCGTTTTATAATTCTGCAAGAGCTTCAAGGATTGAGGGCGGGCTGTTTTCAAAATGTGTTTCTCGCTTTAGCGCCGCGCACATATTTCTCTTAACCATATTTGCAAGAGTTTCACAGATTGATGGCGGGCCGCTTTCAAAATGTGGTTCTCCTTTAAGCGCCGCGCACATTCGTTTGTTTAGTTGTAAGAGTTTCGCGGACTGCGGGCGTTTTTTTCAAAATGTGGTTATTTTTTTAGCGCCGCGCACATGTTTCTTTAAAAGATGTTGCAAGAGCTTCACGGATTGAGGGCGGTTAATTTTCAAAATGTGGTTCTCGCTTTAGCGCCGCGCACATGGATTCCCATGATCAGCGTACCAGAAATTGCGTGTTGGAAGGACTCAGGGCTATGCGGGTGCAACAGTTATGTTGGCTCGCGGTGCTGAAGTCCCAAAAAGTGCGTCTTGGCACGAGTCCGGATCGTCAAAACGCAGCAGTCAGGTTGATCCGTGGCGTAGAAATCCCGAGAACCATGTTTTGGCATGTTTCAGGGTCTTCCAAGTGCGTTCTTCCAGCGAGACAGTTCCTTCAATGGAAATGAGCACCTGTAGGGGCCTATGAAGAGGGAGCTTGGAGGGAGGGTTAATTCCAACATCGTCAATGACTCTTGGGTTTACACTAGTCCCCCTCCTTCCCCTCCTCCTCCTCCTCCTCCTCCTTCTCCTCTTCCATTCCTTTCCCTTATAAATAACTTCTCCCTGTCGCACCCCGAAGCCAGTTTTTAGGGTGGGCCGGGCGGTTCGCCTGGGACAGCCTCAACATGTAAAACTCTGAAGCTTAAAAAGTGAGCAGTTTCACAGATGGAGAGCGGGCCGTATTCAATTTGTGGCTCTAGCCTTAGCGCCGCGCACACTCGTCGTAAACATGTGTAAGAGCTTCACGGATTGAGGGCGGGTCGTTTTCAAAATGTGGTTCTCTTTTTAGCGTCGCGTACATTCGTTTTTCAAAAGTTGCAAGAGCTTCACGATTTGAGGGCGGTTTGTTTTCAAAATGTGGTTCTCGCGTTAGTGCCACACACATTCGTTTTGCAAATTTGCAAGAGTTCCACAGATTTCCATGATCAGCCTGTCAGAAATGGTGTTTGGGAGGATTCAGGATTATGAGGGCGCAAGAGTTTCCTTGATTCGCAGTGTTGAAGTCTCAGGAATGGTGTTCTTGGGCAATTCAAGATCGGCGAGACGCAACAGTCAGGTTGATCCGTGGCGTTGGAATCCCGAGAACAATGTGTTGGCATGCAAAGGGTATTCAAAGTGTTTTCTTCCAACGAGGCAGTTCTTTCAGTGGAAATAACCGCTGTAGGGGTCAGGGAGCTTGGAGGGAGAGATTGTTTCAACATCGTTGATGACTCTTGGGTTTCCACCTGTCCTCCTCCCCCTCCTCCTCCTCCTGCTCCTCCTCCTTCTCCTCCTCCGCTTCAGGGTTCTCCGAGGTTGCCGAGGATCGGAGGTTTTCGAATGTCTTTGTACGGGACGATGTCCATCACCCCGACTCGTCCCAGATGGCCGCTCGAGGCCCGAGTTGTGGCCGGAGAGTGAAGCCTCTTGGCGTCGCGGAAAGATTCGGATGTTGCTAAAGGTGCCCTTGGTCCAGGGTGCCCCCAGGATTTCCAGAGATGTCCTGGCGGCCTCCGGAGCACCCCTCGCGAAGCCTCGAGGTCCCCAAGGGACTCCAAGATGGGGCGAAAAGCTGTTGGCACCCTGGGCCAGGGGCACCTTTAGCAGCCCTGAAAGATCACGAGAACAAGATCATGTTCTGCCTCCAGGGTTCCTTACGGGCCCCGGGGACCGTCCAAAACGGCTCAGGATGAGCAGGTGGTCTGGGGAAAATATTCCAGACCTCCCTAGGGGCCCACACGAAAAAATCACGACGTCGGGGTAATCCGTTTCCATTTCTGGGGCGTGCACACGTTTGTATATTACCGTTTTTTGTGTTATTGTGCATCCAACTCTGGAATTCCATGTCCGTTTCTTTCCCCGAGATGATATCCCGTCCTGATCGAGTTCCTTTCATTTATCCTTCTCCTGTCTCCCCCAGCCCCTTCTCTCCTCCCCCCCAACACCTCGCGCCATGCCTTCCGTCGCGCATAGGTACCCCTGCTAATCCTCCTCCTCCTCCTCCTCCTCCTCCTCCTCCTCCTCCTCCTCCTCCTCCTCCTCCTCCCCCTCCTCCTCCTCCTCCTCCTCCTCCTCCTCCTCCTCCTCCTCCTCCTCCTCCCCCTCCCCAAGACCCCTCCTGCCGAGTGCAGCGGAACCTGCGGGCCTGGCGTCGCCGAAGCCGCTAGACTCCAACGCCCCGTTTTGCTTTGCGCTCCGTGCTCAGAGGGTCGCGCGTTTGCCGCGTGCGGCGCTGTTTGCTCGTTGCGACAGGGTCGGTTTTCCAGTCATCCGCCGTGGCGGCGCCGTGCCGCAAGGAACGCTCCCGCCGCAGGAAGGCGAGCTGCAGCGGAGTTCACGGCAGGCATGCACTCCAGGCGGACAGATCGAATGCGTGCTTTGTTTCCATGTGCACAGATGCCCGTCGGTCGTCGGAAGTAGGTATTTCTGGCTCTCCAGGTCCCAGACCACTTCTGGCGCCTTCCTACCTTAAGAACCGGCACGGTTTCGGTGTGCTCTGTCATTCTCTGGGTGGGCCTGAACCCAATCCACCTGCTCCGCTTTCCCACTTCATGGTCTGACCTACTTCTTCCGACAGACGTGCACGTACTAGTGCGAATGTGCCTATCTGTGTGTAGGCGAGGATGAGCTCAGCATCCGACAACGATCACAACGATCACAACGATCACAACGACAACGATCAACGATCAATGCTTTTCTCCTGCTGTACTCGCTGGAAGTACGTGACACGGGACAAAAAAGGCCCGCCCAGGACTCGTTGTGATCGTTGTTATCGTTGTGATCGTTGTTATCGTTGTTATCGTTGTTATCGTTGCCTGCAGAGGGGTCACCGCACCGCGCCGGGGCCGCCCGAAGACGGGGCGCGGGCGGCAGAGCCGCAGCGCCAAGGTGATCGCGCTCGCCTCAGCGCGGGGCGCGGCCCGGGCTCCCCCAGACCTCTTAGAGCCCTCCAGAGACCTTCCTCCTCCTCCTCATCCTCCTTCTCCTCCTCCTCCTCCTCCTCCTCCTTCTCCTCCTCCTCCTCCTCCTCCTCCTCCTCCTCCTCCTCCTCCTCCCTCCTCCTCCTCCTCCTCCTCCTCCTCCTCCTCCTCCTCCTCCTCTTCCACATGACGTGTCCGGCCTGGGCGAGAGCTGGATGCACACGTGGTCACGTGTCTTGCCAGCCCTCGGCCTTCGTGTGGCCAGGCACGGGGAGGCTCCACTTGTGTGTGTCCAGCAAGCGGCCTCCAGATGTTCCACCTGTGCATCCACGTGTGCTTCCAGCTTCCCGGTAGCGTCTAGGGTGTTCTACATGTTCGTCCTCCGGATGCCGGCTTCGGACCCTGGGAGCGTCAAAGATTACTCGGGACGAGCCGCCGGTCCCAGGGAGAGGGTCGAGAGGCCCCCTGGGCCCGAGGCTGGAACACGTTGAGCCGTCGTGGGTGCGGACCCGAAGCTGTTGTGTTTTTCCACAGCGTGGGGCCCGGGACGTCCGAACCCCCGTCCCCGGTGACAGGCCTCTCGCCCCGAGCCGTCCTTGGACTGCCCCCGAGGCCCTCGGCGGCAGGCGGTGCGCAAGAGCCGCCCGTCGCTTTCGTCTTCACCGCGCGGGGAGGTCCGGAAGGTGCGGGTGGCCTGGGCGGCAGCACCCCGGCAAGGCGTGCACGGAGGCGGTTCCGGCGAGGGTGCAAGAACGGAGGTGCAAGCGGATGCAGTGCCCCTTCTCCCAGAGGGCGCTGTCCACCCCTCCTCCCTCCTCCTCCCTCCTCCTCCTCCTCCGCCTCCTCCTCCTCCTCCCCTTCCTCTTCCTCCTCCCCCTCCTCCTCCTCCTCCTCCTCCTCCTTACCCTCGTCCTCGTCTTCCTCGTCCTCGTCCTCCTCCTCCTCCGAGAGGGAGAGAGAGAGAGAGAGAAAGAGAGAGAGAGAGAGGCGAGCAACCCAAGTCTGCCAGCGGCGCTCAGGACGGCAGCCTGGAGAAGGCACTGGCAGAGGTGCGGGTGGAGCGGGCGGCGGAGGCGGCAGAAGAGGGCCAGGGCCTGGAGCAGGAGGAGCTCAGGGCCCAGGCCGCGCCGCTCGGGGGAAGGGGCACAGGGCTCGAACGATAAGCAACAGCATAAACATTAAAATCTGATAGTTTGTATTGATTGTTCTGCCGATCGGCGCGGGCCCTCGCCTCCCCCCCACATGGAGTAGATCTTGGCTGTTTTGGGCGCCTGTTTCGAGCAGGCGGAGTCTTCCCCGCAGGACGCACTGTTGCAAACAGTCGCACTCAGCAGAGGTCTGGAGCCACACACACACACCCTCCCCCCCCCTTCCCGCCCACTGCCGCAACGCCGCACAAGAAACCGCTCGCAGTGTCGCAAGTCCGCGCGGTCTTCTGACGTCGGCGCTGGGCCATCCTGGCGGCGCCTCCGGCGCCGTTCCTGCGCCAGGGAGGGGTGTCCAGCGCCGATCTCTGAAACTTGGGCGGACCTTCGCCGCAAGTCTGTAGCTGCTGCATTTCGATGCCCCATCGCCAGGCCGCGCGGCCGCACGATGTGCCTGGCCAGGCAGGGGAGAGGCAGTTATCGGCGCTCCAGACACGGGGGTCAATGCAAAACGCTTGGCATCGCTCGGACGCGTGCATTTTTCCTTCGGCGAGGACTATCGAGGAGCATCCTTGATCATTTGGCGAAAAAAACACTCACGAAACCGAAAAAAACACGGGGAATGGACGTCCGAGCGATGGCCAGAACGGGGGTCCGTCAGAGCGCCAGGTCCTGCAGCATCCTGCAGGGCCACAGTGTGCACTGACCCGGCGTTGGGCGCAGGATCCTGCAGGATCCCGCAGGAGTTTGCAAGGCCTGATTGACCCGGATGTGCATTGACCCGGGCCAGTACGTCCCCGAATATATATATATATATATATGTATATATATATACATATATATATGTATATATATATACATACATACATACATACATACATACATACATACATACATACATACATACATGCATGCATGCATGCATGCATGCATGCATACATACATACATACATACATACATACATACATACATATATGTCGTTTGCTTTGGTTGTCCATCCTATATCTCTCTTGCTCTCTCTGTCTCTCTCTTTCTTTCTTTATCTTCTTCTTCGGTGCGTATGTTCTGAGCTCCAGTGGGTTCGCCCTGTCTGCTCGCCGAGCCGTCGTGTCCTGGCCACGACCGGGCCGCACGGGCCCTGCGTGGTCGCTGCCATTGCGGAGAGCCGCGCTTGTCCTGCGGGCATTGGTCTTCTCTTGTGGCCGACGCGCGTTCGACAGGTTTTCCACGGCGTGGCTTGGGGGTTCGACGCGGACGCGGCGCGAATTGCGGTGCGATGGGACAGACGAGGTTCCCCGAACATGCACTGATCGTGCTCTTCTTCCTCCTCCTCCCACCTCCCCCCGCCCTGCTCTGCTGTTGTGGCTTCCGCCTCCCTTTCTCTCCCCCCTGCCCCATGGAGAGCATCGAAGCTCCTGAACCTTCGCTGCGGATCTCGAGGAACGCGCACGTGCCGACTTGGACAGGTGGAACAACTGGGGGCAACGCTAGGGAGGGATGGGAATATAGGGCGGGATGCAGCGACCCCAAATCGCCCATTGATCGCCGATAGGGGCCCGACAGTCCCAGCCTGCACAGCAAGGTGCAGAGTCACTATCGGCCTATCGCCGCTCTGTCGGCGATGCATCGCCGATTCCCCTGCGCCGGTCCCCCCCTATCGTTGCCCCCTCCAACATAGGCAGCCAGCGATGACGCAGCCCCTCCTCGGGTCCGGGCGCGCGCCGCGAACTCCAAGTCGCGGCCGTCCACGGCCCCGAGCCCACGCAGAACGGTCCGGCCGGAGAAATTATATGATTTGCCCCTCCTCCTCCTCCTCCTCCTCCTCCTCCTCCTCCTCCTCCTCCTCCTCCTCCTCCTCCTCCTCCTCCTCCGCCTCCGCCTCCGCCTCCGCCTCCGCCTCCGCCGCCGCCTCCTCCTCCTCCTCCTCCGCCTCCTCCGCCTCCTCCGCCTCCGCCTCCGCCTCCGCCTCCTCCTCCTCCTCCTCCTCCTCCTCCTCCTCCTCCTCCTCTTCCTCCTCCTCCTCCTCCGCCTCCGCCTCCGCCTCCGCCTTCTCCTCCTCCTGCTCCTCCTCCTTCTCCTCCTCCTGCTCCCCCGGCTCATCGGAGAAAAGCAACATGAACATTAATTTTCGGAGCTCCGCACAGATGTCTCGGATCGGCGCTGGGACCCTTCATGTGGCGACTTTGGCGCCGCCCCTGGCGCGCTCCGCGTGCCAGGTAGGGGGATCAGCGCAGATTCAAAAACTCCGCACGGGCCACCAGTTTAGGTTCATTCCCCAATCAGAGCTTGCCTCTGTAGGGGTCCTAGCGGATTCATATGGTCAGGTTAGCGTGGCCGCCGATTTTCGCTGCACGCCCGGGTGCCCAGGGGGTGCCCAGGGGTGCCCGGGTGCCAGGGTGCCCGGGCGCCCGGGCGTGCCCGGGGGTGCCCGGGAAAGGCCTATAGCCCAATAGCCCAATAGCCCTACAACTCTATAGCCCTATAGCTCTATAGCCCTATAGCTCAATAGTCCCCTAGCCCTACAGCCCTGATTGGGGTTTTCCTCCGGTATCACGCAGTTGTTCGTTTCTGATCTCCCGTGGGGGCATGCATGCGGGTGCCCTGGGAGGCGTGCGTGCTTGCCCCCCCCAGGGCACCCGCAGGGAGCGCGCAGAAGCAGGCCCGCGGGGGCCCCGACGCCCTCGCGGCGGCCGGCGCCCCTGCCCGACACCAACGGGGGCCCCGCTGGGCTCGCAGAGCCGACGAGGGCGGCCGCAGAGGCTCTCGCGGCACCCCCCCCCGCCCTCGCGAGGACCGCCGCGCCCCCGCGAGGGGCGACTGGCGCCAGCGGCTGCAGCCACCCTCGCCGGGGGATGCTGGGCTCGCAGAAGCGACGGGGAAAACCAAGGAGGCCCTCGCGGCCTCCTCGCCCTCGCGAGGGCCGCCGCGCCCTCGCGAAGGGCGTCTGGCGCCGGCGACTGCAGCTACCCTCGCTGGGGGCCCCGCTGGGCTCGCAGAACCGACGGGGGCGGTCAACAAGGCTCTCGCGGACCCCCGCCCTCGCGAGGGCCGCCGCGCCCCCGCGAGGGGCGTCTGGCGCCAGCGGCTTCAGCCACCCTCGCCGGGTAATGCCGAGCTCGAAGCAACCGACAGGGGCGGTCAAGAAGGCTCTCGCGGCCTCCTCGCCCTCGCGAGGGCTGTCTCGCTCTCGCGAGGAGCGTTGGCGCCCACCCTCGCCAGGGGGTGCTGGACTCGCAGAACCGACGGGGGCGACCCAAGAGGGCCGCTTCGCCCTCGCGAGGGGCGTCTGGCACTGGCGGCTTCAGCCATCCTTGCCGGGGGATGCTGCGCTCAAGGAACCAATCGACGGGGGCGACCAGAGAGGTTCTCGCGAGGGTCGCCTCGCCCTCTCGAGAGGGGCGTCTGGCGCCAGCGGCTTCAGCCACCCTCGCCGATAGATGCCGAGCAAAAAGAAGCGACGGGAGGGGCTACCAAAATGGCCCTCGCGAGGGCCGTCTCGCCCTCGCGAGGGGCGCCAGCGGCTTCAGCCACCCTCGCCGGAGAGTGCTGGACTCGCAGAACCCGGACGGGGGCGGCCCGGGAGGCCCTCGCGGCCCCTTGCATGCACGACCTGAGTCTGGGGCCTTGGCATGGGCCCCCAAGGGGGACTTTCTCTGGGAGTTGTAGGCCAATATGGGGCCCTCCGAAACGCTTTCAATGTAAAATGAAGGAAGAGAGCAACATGGCTAAGACAAAAAACACTGTGTCTGATACATGTTGGCTGTCGTGTACCTCCCTTGAGACCTCTTGGATATTCTCTTGAGCCAGATTGTGATCTCTTCGAGGCCGTCCTGGAATCATATGTCCCGACAAAAGACAGATCGCTTTTATCCACGACCCCGGCAGCTGTAAGCACTTCGAGTTACCCAGCCCAGGAAGCCTGCAGCTGGCCCCAAGCAGTCCTAGAGGCGCTCCAAGAGGCCCTGCAAGGTGGCCGCACGACGACCCAGGAGGCCAACACTGTCACGCTTCAAGGTTTTTGTTTTAAGATTTTCCGTAGCCGTTTTGGCTCAAGTCATTTAGGCTCGCGGGGCCCCGGCAGCTGCCGCTCCCGAGGGCCAGCCCGACGCGCCGGCGGCCGGCACCGTCGGGGGGACGACCTCCGACGCCAGCCGCCACCGGCGGGCCACCTCGGCGCGGGGAGGCCCACGAGTCGAGCAGTGGCGAAGAGCGCCCTGGGTCCTTCAAGCAGTGGCGAAGCGTCTCGGCTCGCCTATAGCCCCACCAAACTAGGCCTACAGGAATGCCGGGACGGTCGGTCCCTGCTCAAACGATGCCCCCCCGAGCTGGAAGCTGCATCGGCGATGCGGCGCGATCCGGAGTCCGATGTTCTCTCCGCCCCGATGCCGTCGGTGCACCGGCGATGGCAGGAGCGACCTGTAGCCAAGCCCTGTCAGACCGACCCCTTTCCGTGAAGACCCCTCCTCCTCCTCCTCCTCCTTCTCCTCCTCCTCCTTCTCCTCCTCTTCCCCCTCCGCCTCCTCCTCCCCATCCTCCTCCTCCTCCTCCTCCCGCCTCCTCCTCCTCCTCCTCCTCCCTCTCCTCCTCCTCTTCCTCCTCCTCCACCTCCTCCTCTCCTCCTCCTCCTCCTCCTCCTCCTCTCCTCCTCTTTCTTCTTTCCTCCTCCTCCTCCTCCTCCTCCTCCTCCTCCTCCTCCTCCTCTTTCCGTTTTCCTCCTCCTCAACTTTTGTCAGACCGGCCCTTTTCCGTGAAGACCCCCTCGTTTCGCTCCAAGACGTGGGCAGGCGGCCAGATGGAAGCCTCGAGGGTGAGGGGCTCGTCGCGGAAGAGGCGGGTCACAGAGAGGGTCGGTCAGGCTGCGCCCGACGATGAGCTACGGTCTCCGACCCCACTTCTTCTGGCCCCAATTGGGAGGCCTCCATTCCTGGACATCCCGCGATCAGAGTTGTTCGATCCGGGCCCCAAGACCTCACCG